AATGGATAAGACAACGGGATTTGAAAGCAGGATTTTTGGATTTGAGGGTAATTAGGCCTAAGCACCTTAAACATGAAGATAAGTAAACAACATGGAATATTGCTTACTATGAATGTTGATGAAATAGTGGATGATGTGACTAGTAACAGAGGCTCCAAGCCTTGCGAAATTGTTCCTTCGAAAAATTGAGCAGTCAGTGCTCAAAATATATACAATCTCCCATAACAGTTGATTAAAACATATACTTTAATACCTTAGATTGTGTAACAACATCTCGGTGTAATGCGAATTTGACAACTCTCTCTTGAGGATAATTTAATTAGAAAGGAAACTATCCAAAGAAAAGCCATTAGCCTTGCCTTGATGACTTCCTAGAATAAACCGGGTCTTTATCCTGCTTGAAGCAACGAGACCATTGGTTTCAACATGGTTTCAATGTCCATTTAAGCCTTATCAATGAGAATTCCATGCGATAAAATTGATTTTTGTTTCTCTTTCCCGTTCTGTTTCTGTAATCAGTAAATGAAATATATCAAGTTGTAGCCGGAGCTGGCTATCTGAAAAAGGCACACAACCTTTCAAGCACCCAAAAAGGAGAGGGAAGGCAATTTCGTTTGGTTATGTTCCCTGGCAGTGGCGCCGAGAGGCCGGGGTAACCGGGGCTAGCCCGGGGCCTGGGATAAGGAAAAAATAATAATTTAAAAAAAATAAATAAATATTACTAAACCTACACAGTATCTTTCATGTGTTTTTCCCACGAGAATTGTAAATAAAGCTGACCGTTTATCGATGAAAGCTGGTAATTAATCGCTTTTAATTCTTTTTCATCAATATTTTCATGACGACTTCTAATCGAGAGATATGTTTACAATATATCAAATTGTAAAAATTTGTTCGTTCGTTCGTTCCTAGACCCCTGGTCTAGGACATTTATGTTTATTTTAGGCCTCCGGCCCCTTTACATAACAAAGTTACAACGAAAGAAAATCAGTAAGAAAGTAAATCACGTCTTTTTATGTAAGCTACAGATTATTTCGATAAATTATATAAACGATCATTCGATGGCATTAAATGGTGGAATTAAAAAAATTTTGAATTTATATAAAAGAAAAATGGAAATAGGTTTTTATAATATCATTATGAAGTAGGCCTAATGGAATTCATCTTCTATACATTGATTTGAGCATAATATTCTCTTGTTTATTTTCTTCTTTACGTTATTAATTAATAATTATAAAAGGCTTGGATCCTGGACAGCGTCAATAAACATACAAGTTAAAAAATACGAATAGACCTAATAGAGATTCGATTGTCAAATAAATACTGAATTAATATAATAAACCGTCCCCATCCCGAAAATCTTTCAAAATTTTGCAAACATTGAGAGAAAAAGGGAAATTCTACTAAAATTTACGTCTAAATGTGCCATTTCCGGCCGTCCAGAAGTGCCATAATCATACATTTTCTGGCTCTGCATCTGCAACATTTTGATACATATTTTATGAATATTTTCAGCACATTTGAATAATTGGAATGATATCTTTTACTTTTAATGGTTCTATACTTTATTTTCCATGACCTGGTGAAATTAGGCACGATTAAATTAGTCCTCTAAACCGTTAAAAGGCCGCATCTTCCGGGGGGGGGGGGCACCACCAGGGATCTTCCCCATGCCCCCAGACTCCCTATCAATGGGACCTCGCGAATATTAAAACTAACGTCTAACTCATCACCAGTAATCCAATGCATCTTTTCTATACAGTAAAATAACGTTCTAACTCGTTATTACATATTCACGGCACGTATCACGTTCTATAAACATACGGTCGGCAACCCATGTGTGGGTCGTGGGGTTTGAGGGTCGTCGGGTCGAAGAATCTTATGTGTTAAAATTAAACACTGTAAAAATCAGATTTCTGTGAAAACATGGAAACAAAACATTTTAAAATAAAATACGGTAATTTGATAAAATGTTGGCTATTGCCAGCAGGACTATAATCTCAGTCAGACCTCCGTTTGTTCAATAGTGTTTGTGTTTCAAAAAATATATATTTGTTTTGGTCTTGAAATAAAGTTTTAGAAACTTTACAGCATTGTGTCACTTATTCAAATCCTCGGCTCCTTATTTTTGTCTACTATTAAGAGGCATTTACGCTTTAATAATGCCTACTAGCTAAATTATTGGGTATTATGCAATCAAAACATAACAAAGGTGCTCAAACCATTGTTAAAATTAGAGATTAAAATGATGGAAATCAACAAATCATTGAAGAGCTGCTTTAGGTAATTATTTTCTTAAATAAGTATGTTTATCAAATATTATATTTTTGTTACGAGACACTACAGTAGGCCTACTTAAGTAGAATCCCTATTAAGGGACACCTTCAGGACCCCTCAATTGTACCCCCACTCATGGAACACAAATATAGAGTAACAAATTTTTTTTAAAGGGTGCATGTTATGATGTAGATTAGAATCTTATATGACAGTACACAAAAAAGAAATCCCCATGAAAGGGGTACAGTTTGACAAGATCAGTTGGACGTAGGCCTATACCGATGTTGACACTAAAGATTTAGGGGAAAACATTTTGGTTTTATGTGAAATTGTTTTTGCTCAAAGGTGATAAAATATAAAGTTGAAAGATAATTTTCTTATTTTAAGTTTTTGTGATGCAGTACAATAAAACAAAAATGAAGTGTCCTCCTTACTTTTGAATGGGTTGAATATGTACCGATTTGACCAACAGCACGCCCAGAGTCTTCCCGTCTCATTAATAGGGGAAAGAGCAGTAGAGTATCCCAAGGGGTACAAACTTTCCCCACCCCTAAACAAATCATGGTCAAGTAGTTAAAAATCACCTTATTTTGCAAGCTAACGCCCCCCTCACCCAATCATCATCCCCACTTTAGCTTCGCGCATTCCCCTCCCCCAATTCAAGGTTCCTAGATATGCCACTGGTAAAGTGTAGTGAACCAACAGGTGACCAATTTGTCTCCAATTATGTGCGCGATGTGTAAATCTCTGCGATTAGCATTGCTACTAAATTTTGACAGCTCATATTTCCAACTCATTTTGTTAGCCATTTTAAGTCTCTTCTACTAACACACTTACTTAAATGGTTTCCTTTCACAATCGCTTCTAATTTTTTTTTTTAAATTATTGTTTTGTTTGTTTTATTTTTCTATCTTAAAGTTACTGCTTTATGTGCTTTTGCACACTTTGTGTTTGGTTCTATGCAATTCTACTCGGGAAGGTGGCGGGGGTGGGGATTTTCTGACTTATTGCGAAGAGTGGCTAGCAGCGCTTTGTAACTACAAATAAAAGCACTATACAGGCAACATGTAACATTAAGATATTAGTTTTCATGCATTTTTTTTCTTTCAGTGTCATCAATTAATTTCATTTCTGTATTATCACAATTCAAATCTTGGTTTAGAAGGGGTGAACGTTCATATTTTCACACATTTTAATGGTCTGCGTTGTGTCTATGTTCAAAATTCTCTAAGTACTGTAATATACTCTCCTCTTAAAAAGGTTCTAAAAAATTTATTCAAATTTTAACGCAAAATGACTTGTGCTTAAATGCAATGAATATATAAATCAAATGAATTGGTTTACAATTAAATATTCTATTTGTTTATTTGTAATTTCAAAGTAATTAAAAATTGATGGTGGATTTGAAGTGCAATTTTAAATTTAATTATTATCAATTCTGCCAAAGAAGAATCCATTTAAATTAATTCAAAAATTCCCAGCAACCATTTTATTTTAAAATTTTCACTTTCAAATAAACACTAAAATACAGTCTATCGTTTGTAAATATTTTAATTCAAAATTATTATTTGATTAAAGTTGGCTGGTTATTCTTATAATATGGTAGTGGGGAGTGGAAGATGACAGCCTTCACGCGAAGCAGCACCCACAAGTAACAAGTAAACATGATTTGGTGGACATCATTTTGGAATGCTAACACTTGTGTATATCACTGCATGTTGTAGTAAGTGTAGAGCAACCGTCTTTACAGCGATAATTACTATCGTTAAGGTCACAATTGTACTTCCTTCACAATATTGACAAAAGCGGAAGCCAGTCAATGAGACAAGGTGACTCACAGGGCCCACATAAGCCTTGCCCTTCTAAACTTTGTTACATTAAAGCCACGGCAATTTGAACAGAGGTTGCAAAAAAATAACTTCCAAACAGGGTTGAATCTGTTAAATGTGTGAATCATGTAAGACGGAGTCAAAAAATAGTGGACTGGAATTTAGTCTGGTATAAGACCAATAGTTATGCATGCTTAATACAGTAATAATCATAATAATAAATATAATATTAATAAATAAATATCAATCATATTAATAATAAACAATAATTAATTATAATTAATAATAAAATTAATAATAATTATAAATAATAACAATAACAATAACAATAATAATAAAAATAATAACAACAATAATGTAATTTTATAAGGCATACTTATCAACCTCGGATAGCTGCTCACAGCATTATTTCCATTGGCAGAGAGCAGACTTTTCTACATTTTTAAATTAATTTTTGAAGTTTATTTTTGTTCTTATTATTATATATTTGATAACAAAACTAAACTAGTGGGGAAGAAAAAAAAAACCAAAATGTAAGAACTCTCAGGGGGGGTCACCCATCCGTCACCACTCAGTCGTGTTCCCTACCATTTACCTACGGGCTCAAACAAAGGTTTTATTCTGTATGCAAGATTTGCTTGAGGGGGGAGAGGGAGAATTTTCAACTTATCGATGTCAGTTAGGGGTAAACAGCACTTCAAAACTGCAAGGAAAAAGCACTATACAAGCAACAAGTAATGAATAACATTATTTCTGAGTAAAATATGTCAAAAAATACTGTACAGTACATGTGCTACGTTATTATTAAAATATACAGCCAGGGGTAGAATCAGCAAAAACAATCAATTTAATAAATTTAACTTACAATGAAACAAAAATTTAAAAACAAACCAGTATTTGGTGACTTAGTCTTTTTATTGAAAAAAAAAAAACTTGAATTGATTTTAGAAACAAAATTCTTAGGAAGCAATTTCGCATTCATATTTAAATATACAGTAGGTCTAGAAAGTAATCAATTTAAATATTGTATTTTATTTTAAATTTTTTTTTTGTTACTTTAGTCCACTAAATTTTTTAAGTTTCACTCATTACAACTACAACCGCAACACATTTGGCTTCTTTTGGGAAGTTGATTATATCATAATTAATATATCATAGGATAATTATATAACAATAATATAACATAACATGATTAATTATATAACAATAATATAACATAATGTGACTATGTATTTATATAAAAATTACATAATTAATATAACACAATGAAGCCTTGTATTGTACTTAGGGATGCAAGGTGACTGGAGGGTAGAATTGTACAAGATCAGAAATACTGTACAAGCGAGCCTGTAGGCCTATCTACAGCAAGTTATTAGGTCTCTCTCTGGCCTTTAGAGCCCACCACAGCAGCAGGGTTAGAAGTTAACATTTCAATTTTGCTGCTAAATTTTTAATGGAATATAACATTCTAAGTTCATTATACTTTCAGAATTATTATGCAGAACAGTGCCAAATTTTTGTTATAATCCTCTAAATTTACAAGTGGGTGGGCTTTTGGTGTCCCAATTACCAAAAAGGTTAGTTGGGGAGGAGTGTAGGTTATATCTATGGTTGGGTATACCCTAGAACTATGTACAGTATAACTATATAAAACCAAATTTGTGCAAGATAAGAGCTATGGTTATACTTACTGACATTTAGAACTATTCTAATCAATTAGCATAAACCTAGGAATGTTTAATTTTTGTATTTTAACTATTTTTTGTTGTATACTGTTATCCACTGTGTTTACTGTTTTGATTAGTATGAATATTCATGCGCAATCTAAATTGCATTTTTATCATTTACACTTTTTTGACCAAAAACAAAGTATGTCTAACAATAAATAGGCAGGGTAGTTGTAAAAGTTATTTTTGTTATTGTAATAACAATTATGGTCATACAGTACTTTTTTTACTCTGAAGCCTTTTTTAATAATTAAAAAAAAATACATAAAATAAATAAATAAATATAAATATTGTGAATGTTGATATGCAGAATCTTTATAAGGATGATGTAATACCATGTACAGATGACATAATACCATGTAAGGATGACATACAGTAAACCATGTAATTTATGTAGTAATGTTATATTGATATCTTTCAGAGAACATCTTTCATTTTGGTTACATAGCTTTTTTACAAGTCTACACCAATGATGCAATCATATAGAAGAATGGGCAGGTTAAAATCTAAATAGAGACCGATGAGGTAGAACATTTCACAAATAGAGAGCGCTACAGGAAATCAGTAGTTTGCCAATGACGAGGTAAACAAAACATCCTTGTTTTGATGATGACCTACTAAACAGGTCAACATAAAAACAACAATGAATTTTCAACCTGTTGAGCTCAATCGCAAACACACTGAGTTTAATTCAACTAATTCAATAAATGCAGAAGGTGTTTACACACGACAGAGAAGGACAAAGCTGCAAAATAAGAATGCGACAGGTTTCCCACCCATCCATCACTCTTGTGTATGATAATTTTCTCTGTTTATGAGCCACACATCAGGCAGTCTTCACGGTTCTGTAGCGAGCAGGCCATAGCAGCCATGTTATCTGCTTTGCTTTTCTCTACGGTTTTGTTAGCGAGCGATTCCTTGTTGAGCGTGAATTTAATAGGATCAGCAGCGGGTCTAGTGCGTAGGTAGTACATTCCAGTTTTCAACCCCTACCAAAATAAAAATGGATTTATTATTTTAAACTAAAATTATATAGGAAAACCTTCAAAATATCATTATTACTATTACTAATTGCCTAGAGTATATAGCATTTTCTTTTACAAAAAAAGTACAAATATATACAGTAATATCGATGAACATTTTGCTTGACATCATGTTAAATTCACATTAATCATTTTTTTAGAGCTCAATTCCAGGGCAGTATTCCAGGACTTGGACTACTGCCCTGGGCTTGAGCTGTGCTGTATATAAACAAAATTTGATAGATGTAAGATATGACAAAAGGTTATGTAAAATAAGGGCGGTTTTCAAATTAATTGAAATATTTACAGCTTACAGAAAAAAAAAACCCCTTTGAAATATTGTTTGTAAAATAATAGAAAAGGTATAATAAAGATCATTTATGATACACATAAAACATTTTTTTTGTATTTTACAAAACAATGTAATATATTAATATTTTATTTGACATAAATACAATTATCTTTGTTTCTATTTTAACCAAAATATGTTTTTTGTTCTACATTTGGCTTACACACGCAAGTAAGAACAAAAGATGGTTTACAGTATATTAAGTTTCTATTGTTTGGTTTAACTAAATTTAAATTTAATTTTAATTTTTTAATTTTTTAATTTTTTTTTTTAATGTATTAAAGTAATTAAGATATAATGATTTAGGAAACAGTAAAGTATTATTCTTGTTAAAACATAAGGTCAAAATAAGACCTGAAGCTATTATTTCCTATGTTCTCACAAATTTAACAGCATTAATATTAGGTTAATCCTACTGCATACTTTCTGCATGACCCTGCAAGACTACAAAACTAATTTTTTAAATTCTGTTGTTTAAATATTTTTAATGACTAATAAATGTTTAAATTATTAATTTGAGGTTTTCTGATTTAAAAAAAAAAACCAATAGTATTTTTTTTTTAAATTATGTTTCAAAAAATAGAATATGGTAAAGCCAAACAAAACTTATAAATTTAACTTATGAAGTAAATTTATTAAAATTAATTTGAGGTTGAACAAAATATTAGCCAAATTGCTAGATAACAGCTGCTTGTTATTCTTTTCAATGGCAGAATTATCAAGAAAAACATGCGATGGCTGAAGGCGAGGAAAACTTAGAAAACATCAGCTGTAAAAAGGATGTTTGTAATACACATGTTATTCTGCTAAATTTCCCGATGATTAATAATAATCTACCGGTACTACTAGGTATAGGATTTTTTGCTTCGAACAACAAGGAATCTCTTCATAGAAGCCTTAAGACGATAAACCATACTGCCGATAGCCATTTCATTTCTTTCATTTTCAAAAAAGAAACAACACCAAGATCTATTTCTTAGAATTCCACAAAAGCAAAAACGGAGTTAATCATTTTTCCGCCTCGGTTGGTAAACAGTGGTTTGTTTTTCCAAAACCAATTTTCATGGACTCCTGACAAGATACGCGTGGCGCACAGCGACGCGGCTTGTGAAACCAATTTGCTGCGATAAAAAAAAACAACAGTTAACAGACCGGTTAAATTTCACATATGAATAAATTTAGCCTGAAAATTAAGATGAAATTAGCGTGGGTATGGAAATGAGACGGTGGATATGTGTTTGCGGGTTTGATTCTGGTATGTTGTTAAACAGTGGTTTGTTTTTCCAAAACAAATTTTCATGGATTCCCTGACAAGATACGTGTGCCGCACAGCGACCTTGGCTTGTTGAAACAATTTGCTGCGAAAAAACAACAGTTTACAGAGCGGTTAAATTTCACATGTGAATAAATTTAGCTTAAGTTGGGATGAAAATAGCATGGGTATGGAATGAAGACAGTGGTTAAATGTTTTCGAGTTTGATTCAGATTTGTTTTGGATGTTTTAATCAAGCCGATTTCCTGTAACTTGACAGTCTAAGAATCTTCAATAACAAGCTGACATACCAAACTGCAGACTTGACTATTACTGTTCAACGCCAGCTATTTGTAGGCATAAATGTCTATAAATTGACAGTGTTAGACCTGTAATTGTTTATTCCTGGCTGTTTGCTGTATCAGTCCCCGAGGGACGATCAAAAGGGGAGAGGGAAAAATATCAAATAAATCTAATTGGTTCACAGTTTACAACTATTGATCACCATTTCCTGGATCACAGTGGTGTCTCTATGACAATTACTTTTCAAGCAAAAATTATATTTGCCAAAAAAAAAAAAAAAATCAACTTTTTAGTACAAAATGAATTAAGGTGCATCTTACTTTTATTCTTCTGTGTTTTATTTTATTTATTTATTTTATTTCAACAATCTTTAATGAGGGTGGTCCATCCAGCCGAAGCTGATCATTAGGGACCCTCAACACACATAGTAAAACAAAACAAAAGAGCGTATTAAACTAATTAAATTACAGTAAAATAAATAACAACCTCTCAATTCAAAATTTACATAAAGAATTAATTCAAAATTAAATAAAAAAATTAATATAAAAATTAAAATTAAATTACAATTAAAGATGTAAATGAAAGAGCAATATTAAAAAACAATAGGCAAAAGGGTTGTGGATATTTTCCTGTGTCCAAGATCATGTCATGTGAGAATTAATTAGTGCATGGGTAGTAAGATTAGGTAATGGAAAAGGCATGTCCATTACCTCAACACTTTGTTATTACATTTTTATATTTTTCCAATTCTACTATTTAATTTTATGTTTTTTTTTCATCCAATGTGATGGAGAGGGGTAAAGGAAAATCAATGACTACACTAAGCTTTTATTCAATGTTATGCTTATGGTGTGTTTAGCACACTATTACTGATTTTTTTTTCTCAATAATGTTCAATACATTTTGGCGTTGCACTTAATTAAAATTCACAAATTTGTGTATTAAAATTTAAAAAAAAAATAATGCAGCTATAAATAGCTTTTATAGCAAACAGTTGTTTTTAAAGCATAAAATTAGGAATAACAAGTGTTTCTGTCAATGTGGAAAATTGAATTTATTAATCATTAACTTGGTTATAGAGGAAGCGTTTGTTTTGCACGTAATTGCATGCTGGGTAAGTGAATGCGTGTACATCTACGGGACACCCATTGTAATGCACATCAAAACTAAAGTGAAGACGCTTTTAAAGATGTTATTTTTTTATTTTAAAAAATGAAATTCTTTATTATTTTATTGACTTAATGAATAAATGTCAATTTATTCGGTAGCATTTTGTTTATGGTTATTATAACTTTTATTAACATTATAAGTATTATTTGGGTTGTTTTTATATTACAGTTATCATCATCCATTTTCCTCATATTATTTTCAACCGTATTTATATTACTAGACTTACAGTTGTTATTATGTTTATTATTATTATCACTGTCTATTACTTAGCAATGATCAAAACATTTATTTTATTTGTTTATGCATATAATAACATTTAGCAAAATGTAGATACAGTAATAATTATCAACAGGCAATTAGTTACCTGCTAAACTCAATCAGAACAATAAATATTAAAGACAGCAAATCGCTGTCTACCTTCTATTGACCTCATGACAATATTAGATTTCCTTTCAGCTACGCTTCACATTTTCGATCAACAACATATTTTGGAACCGAAGGGGATAAAAACACGGCCCCTGGAAAATTATGCAGGAAATTTGATTACAAGCGTTTTAGATAAACAGTTAACTCGGCCCATGTTGGAAGGGACTGGCTCTTAGCAACATGTTTTTGATGCACTCAAGGGCTGCACCCGAGGCGGAAAAAGACCTGACCCATCAGAGGTGCGATGCTGTTCCTCTATTCAAACACGATGACGCCGCTAGTAAACAAAACACTTTGTTTCCCCGGCCATCAGACAAAAACAAATGATCGTTGACAATGCTTAGCTTCTGCGATTTATTTAAAGTTGCACAGAACAATTTCGGTCTGCATTAACCACATCCTATTGCATACGCCCTCAGACAAAATCGATCATGGACACTAGCAAATCTGACTAACCGTGGATACAAACAAAAACCCTTTAGTCATGATGTGCCCATATATAGTCATGATGTGCCCATATATAGTCAAGATGTGCCCATATATAGTCATGATGTGCATATATAGTCATGATGTGCCTATATATGGTCATGATGTGCCTATATATGGTCATGATGTGCCTATATATAGTCATGATGTGCCTATATATGGAAGTGGTTTTGTGCAGCGCGAAAGGTTTGGTTTCCCAACCTCGAGGTTGGGGTTTCAATCCCTCGCTGTGCAAACGGCTTGGGTCCTTGAGCAATGGCACTTCATCTGCATTGCTCAATCCACCCAGGTGTAGAGATGGGTACCTGGTGGGTTGTCTGTTACTGCGCCAATATGACAGCAGCACTTGTGGACCCAACGACTAGGGAAAACACAGTGCATCGTAACCTAAAGGAATAGGCGCTATGTAAATTAACCAAATTTATAACAGATTACAAAAAAAGAAAATACTGAAATTTACCGATTTCCATGCGTAGAAATGCATGCTGCTCATCTTTCCATAGTTGGGTTCGGCGATGTGTACATTTAATGACTGGCTCTGATCAATGTATGCGCCTCGGTCGGCTGCCATTTTGAGAATGGTTCTCTGGGATATTTCCCATACTGTCTTGTACAATTTTTTCAAATCATCAGGTACATCATCAAGGGACTGAAAAAGAAAAAGAGAAAATTGTTGTGAATAAAATGATGGATAAGTATATTATATTTTACAGATTTTAATGTGTGAGCGGGTGGAGGAGGTTTGGCTCAGTGGAAATGGTTTGGTGTCCCAACCTCGAGGTCGGCGTTTCAATCGCCCTGCAATTAGCTTGCGTCCTTGAGCAAGGCACTTTATCTACATTGCTTCTGTCTACCCAGCTGTATCAATGAGTACCAGCAAATTGCTGGGAGTAACCTGCAGTGGATCAGCATCCAACCCAGAGGGGGCATCACAATCTTATCCGCTATACCTACTTTGACACTGGGGATAAGCTCCCGCCCATGATCCTGTGGCTTAGCAAGAAGAATTTACTCTACTTGTAAGCAGACATAATACAGTAATAATATTAATAGATGGATGAGAGCAAATAAACAAGTTCTCTCACTTGACAATAGGCAAGATGAAAGAAAAAAAAAAGAAAGCAACAAACCAGCACCCAAAGCGAAGTATGGTGTTACATCACCACCGCAAACCGGAGGCACGTTAGAAGTTTACACTTTTACAGGCACAGAGGAATTATTATGGGCTAAATATTTATCGCATTTTCTTTATTTCTGTAACATTAATATTCATGCTCCTAAACTAATGATTTTACTAACTGCTTGGTAAAATCTTGAACAGAAGCCCTGGAAATATTTGTTAAGGACCTTTTTCATCGGCTTCTTTTCAAGATGGGCTTCTTTTTAAAAAAAATATGGGCTTCTCTTGAAAATTAATTTTTCAAATTAAAGATGGGGGTTCTTTTGTATAGGCTTCTTCTCGAAATTAAGTCTGAAATTTAATCTTCTATTCAAGGTTTTACAGTACTTTAATAATCAAAACAAGTTAAAAATAAAGTTTAGCAACTACTAAAATGAGAAAAAAACAACTAATTAAATTAGCAGTTAATTGCTATTTCTGACAATTAGACATGTTTACAAATAGAAATCCTAACATTAATAATGATTGATATATACTTGATAATAGGTATAGGCCTAATATTTAAAAAAATTTGTAAATCAAAATCAGGAACATCAAATCAAATCAATGCTCAGAAGCTGTACAATATATCGAACTGCATTTAAAATTTCTATCAACATCTAAATTAAATGTTGGAATGCGAACTATAAACAACGGAACACACGCAAAAGTTTACATATTACTCCTCTTTTGAGAATTAATCACTCTGGATACAACTGATTAAATATGCCCACAAATTTGAGATATTTTTTCCTTTTCTTAAAATGAGGTCGAATAAATTACAGTTTTGTTGACAAAACAGATTTCTTGAATGTAAACAATTGAAACAGAACTTAAGGTGGCATGATTATTTAAAGTTAAAATTTTGGCATTCAAAAGTAGATTTATTGAGTTATTATGGGTAAAGGTAGGAGAATAATCCATAACTTGCAGCGTCATTTTGCTGAATTGCATATGGGCGTGGTCCATGACTACCTAGCGGTCGTGAAGAGACGCTTATAGTAGCTACACGTTCACATCATTCCACAATGACAGGGGGTGAAAAAAAACCATAGCATTGGGGTAAACCCAATGCAATGGGTTCTTTAAAGTGCACACGAGCCAGATGGGTACACTAGGCCTCCATTTGAAGTCCTTGTCCGAGAAGAACCAACTGAATCATGGGCAATGCCAACTTTGACCAGCGCCAGTGTTAATGCTGTAGATAGCGGTGCTCAGCCACTCGACTCGAGTCGTATAGAAATGCATGTGCTGCCCGCAGTTTTGGAGCGTTAAGGTTATACAACATTGGTTTAATTTTTTGCAAATTCAACTCCTGTGATTTTTGCTACAGTAGCTGCTATTTGTACATTTCACCATTCGTTTGTCTAACGTGTCTTATTACAATGATGAAATAAACAAAACTAGAATTACTCCTTTTACGCTATGCAGTAAAAGCATAGCCTCCCTGCAGGGCAAATTTTCTTCAGCATAAAAAGTATTAAATTACAGTATGATTGTATTATTACCAAGGGAGAGGGGGTATAATCCTGTCTACTCCACTCACCCACTGGCAGTGGCATACCTAGAACTCTTAAAATAGGGGTGGGTTGAGATTGGAAAGGTGCACGTAAGTGGAGGGCGTAAAATAAGGAGATTTGAGGTGATTACTATATACTTCTTGAGCATGGATTTTTTGGGGTTTGACTAAAGGGGTGCCAGTATTTTTGAGACAACAACGACAACAACATAAAAACACAGGTAAAAACAATAACCTCCTCGAACGAATGCAAGATATCAGATTTTTCAAAGAAGGAGAGTTAAGTGCACTAATCGACATATTCAGCACTGGTGGATTAGCAACAATAAGCCTTCATTAGCTTAGCATGTACTTAAATCCCTTCAAGACTTGGCATAATTATCTCTTAAAGAAAATAATCAACTTGAAATGCATGCCATCGTGTCGGGATTCAATATTTCAACATTAATTGTCATCATTCCTGATGATGACATAATTAATGTCGAAATATTGAATCTCGACACGATGGCGTGCATTTCAATACTCAGAGTATGTATAACACTATCTTATCTGAGATTAATCAGTGGACATTTCTGTAATTAACTTGAATGGTCAGAAGTAAGAAGGTACAAACTAGGGCACAGAATGAAGAGAGGAGATTAACTTACTTGGCTAAACTGGTGGTAGCCACTGTGCGCGCACTAAACCATTGAATTTTCTAGGTATCCAGTTCAATTCCTAAAACTACTCTCAGGAAATACAAGTTACAGTAGTGCACCATCTTTTGGATGAGACATTTCAGTCTGTGCAACTTTTGATTTATATTTGGATATTCGTATGATATTTGTGTGTTGCTCTTCTATATTAATCATCAATTTAATTGCTGTAATTTTGTTGTTGTTTTGGTGTTTATTATATTTTGTTAATGGTATTTTATCCTTTTGAAAATTTTTTATTTGGGGGGGGGGTCATTTTTGTGCAGATTTTTATTTTATGCTTTGAGGTATTTTATAGTTATTGGTAAAACGTCTTTATTGCTTTGATTTTTTTAATGGTATTTTTATATTTCAGGTTTAATTATTTTGTGAAAGTGATGAAATCTCCATTTTTTCATGCACTGAGTATATATATTATACACAACAGGAATCAGCATACATTGAACGACAAAACTCACAACAGAAGACACGTTTCAATACTGTTGTCTGCTGCTATTTGAGAAGGGAGAGATTATCGACAAGTGCTAAAAGGCTCGAACTACACTTGGCATGTAATCACAGTTCAAACAGAATTTGGAACGATTCCTACTTACTTAGATCAAAAATTTGAAAAACACATGCAGGTTTCGAGGAAAATTGTTAACAGTGAAATATTAGAAATAGGAAATTCACTTGAATGAAGATTCAGATTTAATCTCAATAAAAATTTATTTTGTTTGTATGGAAATTTAAATGTGCAGCTGAAATATGATTGATGTATAGTATACTGAATTTTGTAACAAATGAGTGTGTAGAAAAGCAGTGTATAACAACAATGTATACCGTAGTAAGTATGAAGTGTTTAGAACAGAGATGCAAGGGAGTAAATATCAGAAATGTATACAATATATTACAAAGTACAGCATTGTTATAAATAAATTAAACCATCGTCATTACGCATCAGCGAACATTGCACTAATGTACATGATAGAATTTGACATTTGTTTTTTTCGATTGTTGATGAAGAGGCACCTATTTCTTAACAATTATATGGGCTCAAAATGTATGTAATCTCCACCATAGCAATGCTAAATTTATATTATAACAAATTCATAATAACTTAGAATTAAAGGTTTCCCTGTAAATTAATTACCCCTCCAACTAAAGACTACCTTTAATCAAAGACCAATTTCAAATGTCTTTTTATCTTTATTATTCTAATTAGAGATCAATGTTACAAAGATCATAGAAACCACCTGGTCAAAAAAGTGGAGATTAAACAATTTTAAGTTAAAGCAAAATAATGGTCTAATACAAACAACAGCAAAACTAACAGGTATTTCCTTTTGTAGTTTGTGGAAAATGGTTTGAGCTGTAAAAATAACGTAGGCCTAACAGTAATAAGGATAAATGAAATGAGAAAAAAGGAATTGTAGAGACAATCCCTGGCACTATGCATAAAAACACTTATAAAGTAAAACTGTTAAAATCCTTGATTTTCCAGACACACGCCTCCTAGGTGGTAGAGTAGGGAAAATCAATCTCTTAACGGCGCAAAGCCGCATATTCCCTGAAACAGGATGACCTAATGAAGGATCGCAATTAGAAAAAAGCAAATGAAGTTATAATTAGTAAGCCAATCCATATTTAGATACCACAGCGGAATAACTAATTGCATTGAGTAGCGATTCACAGGCATGCCTAGTAGGGAGTTACTTAATATCCATTGATGTAAAAATAGAATTTCTATAATTAAACAAGAGATACTATTAATAACAATTGGGCATACAACTCTTATTGTACAGTCAATGACATTAATAGAATTCCTATACTTAGACAAAATATTCTAAAAAAGGACGTTTAACTCTACCATAATGCGCAATTAATTTTTAAAGTGCTTGATAACTGCATTACTGTATATTGTGCTAAAATTATAAATTATAAATACAAAAATATATTCAACTGTACCATACTAAACAGTACTAGTTATTCTCCTTGCCAGGTATTGAATAACATAAATAGGATTTACAGACATTATATAGCAAGCACTTGTAGTCATACAGAGAGTATGTGTCACTATGCAATTTCATTGATGATTGTTTATTGCTAGCTAACTTTCAATAATATTAAAAAGCAACAATAAAACAAGCGAAAATATACTAAAACTATTCTTATGCTTTTATTACATCGTTTTCTGTCAAATGATTTTTTTAATACTACTTTATCAGTCTATATTATCATACTATATTTTTTCTACTTTGCAATGGTACTTGCAACTTTTTACTATTTAATGAAACCTATAAGCCATGACGCTTTGTTTATTCCTAGTCTATTCTTGCTAGCCATTCTGTTTACATTTTGTTTATATTGCTCATTTGCATAATTTGAGTAAACAAGTTTGATCCTGTGTTTTTTACTTTCATTCAACTGATGAAGATTAGCTCAAGCTAGTGAAAGCTTGTGTGCAATAAATTTTTGTTAGTCTAAAGAAAGTGCTAGCTGTATTCATTTAATTTGTATTTCATGATATAGACTAATATGGCTTCACCTTTTATTAAAAATATTCTTGTTTCCTAAGTTCTACACTATTATAATTGTTAAATAATACTAAGAAGCATGATAGAAATACTCGAACAGGTCACTCTCTAATTAAAGACCACCGGTCTGCAGTCCCCAAATGAATGTCTTATCTTATAATTTTATAAGAATAAATTTTCTAATTAATTAAAGATCAAAGCTGCCAAAGATCATGATAACTCTGGTCCCAAAAGTGGAGACGTGTATCTAATACACAAGAAACCAATTTACTAGGCATGTGCAGCCTAAATCTAATACACCAAAAGATAAGCCAATCAAAATGTAGGCCTGCACTGAACATGCTCAGTCACACACTGGTACAACACTTCCTTTGTCCCATGACAAGGCCTCAAGTGATTATTATTCACTAACTGCTTTGTTTAACTGATTTTATGTACAAAAAAAAAATTCTTGCTTTAAACTTACAAAACTGGAAAATATGAATAATAGGATATGACAAGCAAATACTGTGATGAAATAAACAGCATTCAAACTAATGAATTATTCATAACTGAACCAATGAATCAATTATAACTACAGTGATAACAATGAATTATTCATTAACATATGAATTAATTATTCATAGCTAGTCAAAATAATTAATTATTCATAAACAAATTAATAAATTATTCAATTTTTCACAAACAAAAATTAATGAATTATTCATATTGCAATCAAAACAATAATATATTCATAAACAAATTAATAAATTATTCATAACTATTGTAAAATAATGACATATTCATCAACAAGTTTATGATTTATTCATAATTACAATCAAATTGTTTGTTTTGAATTTTATTCATATTTGTTTAACTAAGTTTATGTTTAAAATCAATCCTAAATCCTTAAATTTATATAACATAATCCCAATTAACTTCCATCATCTGTACTATATTAACAGATTATTTAAATATTCAGCATATTATTAAGTTTAAAAGTGGAACGTTTTATTTACATATTCTAACTCTATAGAGGGGGTACTACTGTACTATATATTATTTCTACAAAATCTTTTTTGAAGTCATCTGATACAAAACTGAAATGCAAACTAATTCATGATTTTTTTAAATGAAAATACCATAAAAACCTTGAGATGAAGCCCTTATCAAATTGAAGCCCATATCAAATTGAAGCCCCCCCTCTTTTGTTTGCAAAATTAGCCTGAACAGAAGCCCATCTCAAAATGAGCCCATGGGCTTCTATAAAAAATAGCATAGGCTATAAATTAAATTTATACATTAGTTTAGGTGATTTAATGCCAGATAAATACACTTCATAATACAGATTGATGTTACACTGACCTTATTTATTGTTTAATTGTAAAAAAATTCACAAAATTTATAGCATTCATTTTAAAAAGAAACCCCCCACCCCTTTACTTTGCAAAAGTAGTCTTGAAAAGAAGCCCATCTCGAAAAAGTCGCCCACCTCAAAAAGAAGCCCATCCAAAGTTCGCAAATTAAGAAGCCCAGGCCCCAACATCTGGTTTAGATGAATTAATGCTTCTGGTATAACAAACCATAAACTGGTCTGTTATACTGAATATTTACTTTTATACAGCATCACTCAAAATTTCTGCCTTTTACTCATTTCCACGTCTCTGGGAGGCGGTTCCTGTGGATGTTAGAAATAGCCTCCTGCAGTGTCTTAATATTTTTCAGCATCGACATTTGGTATATTAATAATTTCACTATAATGACTAACAATAATGATTTACATTACAATAATATATAACATCGAATTTAACTTTAACTGTTAATCCATGCAGAGGGCGTTTAATTAACTTTATGTACTTTTAACGCTTTCATTTTCCTTGAATTTTTAAGCGTTTTTAACCTTCTGTATTCTTGTATGTTGTGCCTTCTGTTTATTTTAATTTATTTAAAAAAAAAAATTATACAGTATTTATATAACCACGCTTTTTTTGATTAATATTATGATGTTCTTTTAGCTTCATATCATTGGGAAAAAAAATATATATATTTTTCATTTCTGTATTAATTCTATTTTGTAAGTCAGATTTAACTTGTTCTTACTTTTGAGCAATCCAGTTGAGTTTTTTTTTTTTTGGCTATTTAAGCTTCTGTATTTTTTTAAACATTTATTTCTATCATGTTTGTCTTTGTATTTTATATGTTTTATCGACGAAATAAATGATATATATATCAATAAGTATGCAGGTTTATACAGTAAATCATGCCAACACAGCTTATAGCCAATGGTATAACAAAGAGGTTCTAGGCCACTGGCTAAAGTTCTTTGGAGCTCAACTTCTCGGAATTTTTTTAACATGTTAAGCTTAGTCCAGAGTATTACCTCTATAGGCTTTGCCAGCGAGCCGCCTGGCCGGCTTTTGGACGGCCTACAATTATTTAGGACGGCAGCTTGGACGGCTTAGCCTAATCAGCTCGGCCAGCCTAATTAAGCCTGGTTTACCTTCAGCAAATTCTTTATTCTTCAAATCTATTGAACGTTACATTCTTATTAATAGGTCCATGATTAAACTAAAGCTAAATAATATTTACGTTTGATAAAAATAACATTTATTTATTGAATATACGTTGTTTTCGTACCAATATTCATTGGGGATTCTCACCCATAGCCCTCCAATCGGCTCAGTGCCACGCCCACAAGCTTCCATTTTGGACGGCCTATTTCGTCTTTCTGGCTAAACCCCTGATCACCTCTATATAATAATCACAAAATAGAGTGCCCTCTATGTTATCATCATGACTATACATGGACATACATCAGTATTTTTTGTCAAAGAATATATGAGTCTGGACTGAGTCATAGTGCTCCTTAAAAAGACCCCACATTGACATTGTATGAGGAAAAAAATGATAGATATCCTGGCTCTTAAGACCTGGAGCCGATGTCTTAGTCAGTAAGAGCTTAAAGCTGCTACGCCACTGGTCTAACTGAATATAACATAAAAAAAACAGAGTTTAACCATACATGTACGCTGATGAGTCGAAATATATCTAGCACCGTATGCTCAGCTTAAATGATACAACCTGGTACAAACTTGGACTGTCATTTGTTAGACGGAGGTCAACGACCTTGATATGCCTACGAGTTCAAGCGAGACATTGCATTCATGCGCTTGCAAAAACAGGAAGCACCTCACTGCTGAGCACCACTCAGCTGATTTCGGACAATTTGGAAAAGACACCGATTGCAAAGTTTTTTTTCCGATGAAACACTTCCCCCTTAAGTTGATGACACAGACATTTGGTTTACAATTTTTTTATAGAATATCAGCGACCCTCCATATAATTGAATCCCTCAAAAAAACAAGACAACAGTATCATGATATTCTATGGACTGATTTGGGGTGTGCATTATTTTCAGCCACGCTTGACCGACCCAAATTGTACGAAATTTAGGTTTGGCATTTTATTTTTTAATTTTTTTTTTTTTTCGCAAAAAATATTTTTTTTAATGAGCTAAAAAGGCTGGAACAGGTCCATCTTGCTGGATGGTAGGCAATGTTATGCGATGTTGTATTTTTGTGTATTTTCTACTTTTTAGGCATATACACCAAAAACAAAAAATAGAAAAAAAAAACTTCCCGACCTACTCATTTTTTGGATTTTTCAAAAACGTGAACACAAGAATTTTTTTTGTTGGCTAAATAGTCTCTCCAACCCCCCCACCCCAGTCACACACTAACCTCAAAAAGTGTCTGTAATACTTGTTTTTCAAGCTTTCAAATTAATTTACCATGGACAAGAAACCGGGTCAGATATCCAGTCCATGGTCAGATATCGGTGTGATGAGTGATGGTCAGCCATGACCCGAATTAAGCCTAGACCAAAAAAAAATCTGACCAATCCAGACTTTGAATAGTCATTGCTTTGGTATAAAATTTGTTTGTGCTTTATTATGAGAATAGGTACAAGTCACATTGCCAGCAGGGGATCAGGAGGCAATTTCGCACCATTTTCTGGACTCGTCATCGACAAGAAGTTTGTTTGACCAAAAAAAAAAAATTAATTTGCTTTTCAAAATAAGATTATTTTGATTGCCAATCCCTAATATTTTAGTCTAAAAACATGTTTCAGGCCATACTAAACAATATAAACTCTTCCCATAGACCTTACCACGGATTATTATTCCATGAATCTGACAAAGGCTTTAGTCAACCCCTTTGTTCAAAATCCCCCTATCAGCAGATTTCTGGAGCCATCACTGATGGGCAATTGTTAATTATTCTGCTAGGTCTGATTGTTGTCGAACTGTTAATAACCTGTCTTATGCATTGAGTTATAAGAAGAATTCTAGAGCGCTAACTTTAACATATTCGATGTTTAAAATATGCAGAGCTGTGTAGTGTATAAGATGGTTGCCATAAATCCAGTTAATTAAAATATGCCTAAGCATCGTTTTCAATGGCGCCCTCAATGTTTACAAATATTTAAATCTTGGTAATTTTCAGCTCACCTGAACTGATCCGCCTGTTGCGATTAATTGGTTCTTCATTTCATCGCTCCACAGCCCCCTTTCTGTGAGATCTTTTAGCAAGTGATGATTCACAATCTGTAGTTAATGGAGAAGGTTACATTGATTAAATATAATTATACGAAACCGATCAATCATTAGTATTTGTCAAAACCATGAATTATAAAAAGAGAGCTAAGCAAAACTATAATACATACAGATAGCTAGAAAAAATAAAATAAAACTAGTTAAATTAACAACTCAAAAAGCAAAAAATAAGCGAATATGCCAAAAAAATGTATTATTTTTTTTATCTGTACATTGTGTAATTTGCATGAAAGAATAAACATTACAATGTGGTGAAGACGAGCCAAAATAGTCACTCTTCACAAATAATGTTTCTGAGATAAGGCGATACTTTTTTTTTTATTGATAAATGATAAAGATCATCGGAGAAGGGTGGAATAAAAATAAAAGTAAAATTTTGATTTTTTTATTTAGCAAATATTATTATTATTATTATCTTTATTGGTCTAATATATTTAAAATAAATACATCAGAAATTCTTCATTTATACACTGCAATAAAAGGTAAGAAATTCAATATACAATTACATATAAAAGGTTAAGAAACACAATTCAATTACAATTTAAAATAGAAAAAGTTATGTTAAACGGCAAAAACAATTCAATATATACAATTCAACTAAATACTTTAGGTAATACAATAAAATTTACAATAGTTTTGCCATTAACATCCAGACGGAGGAGAAAACAAAAATAAAATTTAATTGGTGAATGTAAAAAATGGGATGGTTAAATGCTTCAGATTTATACAATTAGGAAGAAATATACATATCTTATCTTTGGAGGTTTCAAGGCAGCAAATGGTGTAATAAAAATTTTATAAAAGTTTTTTTTTTTTGATGAAATTTCTATTATTCATGGTGGTGGGTGTGCTCATTGGCCAACAATGAAATTTTATTTTTATTTCAAATCATCAATATTAGCAGTCGGCCTGTTTGCTAAACCAGGTAAAAAAAAGTCCCACCTAATGGGCAAATCATGTTGGAATGTAAAAATTCTTTATTTAACCTTAATTTATATCTATAAACAGACATGCCAACCACTCCGATTGGTGATAATCTCTGTTTGAGAAATGTCTGAAATCGTAAAGCCTGATTTCTTAAATACTGTTCTTTATATAGCTGTATGTTTAAATTTCAGAAACTTTGGATTTAAATGGTCCTTTTAATTTACAATTTTATAACATTTTTTGCAAGCAGTGACTAATTTGGCTTGCCTGCTACAAATAAATACTGAAAAGTAATCAAAATGAGTCAAAATCAAAATATTATAGCATAAACTAAATTAAAAAGTGGGTTACAATCAAAAGAGTATCCTGGCAAACCAAAATTATATATTCTATCCAAGTAAATCTGGGAGGAATAGCTAACAAGGAAATCCTTCGCTTCGTTAAGTTTACATAGACAATCCCTGAGGAGTCTTTGTATTGTGCCAATAACAACACCACAGAAATTGTATTGTCTAGTTAATATTTTATTGTTTTTCTCGACTCCAATTTCCAAATGAAATTATATTGTCAGAGGCAACGGCAAACACGTCTCATGTGTATCGCTAACTAGACACTTTATACAACTCCGAGGTGTACTGTTTTAACTACGGTGTTATTCATACAACCATCATCAGGCTGGACTAAACAGAACGTCACCGATTAGAAGTTTCAAACCGACACCCCCAAAATGCTTATTTCATCACTTCTTCTACAATACCGAAATTATTCCCGAATTATAAGTAATTAATGATTGCCTTGATAAACGAAATCAATTTTTTAAACATTAAAATAAAAGCTGAAAATATTGTATTCATTAATCTATGAGTTTGTGATAGTTTTTTTGAACATTTATTAAATTAATTCCACTGGCAACATTCCAATAAAATGCCTAACAATGCTACTAACCACTGCTATAGAGTTTGGCTTCAGTTTGACCCCAAATTTGATTAAAAGATTTAATCCTTCGGTTATGATTAATTATAATTTAATCCTTCGAGTAAAACGGCTTCCCACGACTGCGGTTTCTTAACAAGTGGGTGAATGTCCCAGTGGGGACAAAGAGGCTTAACCAACCTCCTGCCAGGGCGTAAATTGGAATGGATTAATGGGGGGACACACCAATGATGAATGACAAAAGCCGAAAGACATTATTTCCTGCGTGATCACTGGGGGTCTGGTAAATTAGACATTAAAATGGGAGAATATTCCCCTGCAGGCCTTGAAAAAAAGTTTGTGCCTCCACCCTTAAGGGTTGTCCCGATAACTTACATCGTAAAAACCTTGTTTGATTAAAAGGAAATTGCAAAATATGATATATTACATGAACTGAGAATGCATATTATTGGATTCTTATTATGACATCATTTCACAACCATAAATGGGCATAATGACATCATTTCACAACCATATATGGCAATGATGATATCATGTCACATCATATTGTCTAATCATGCTATTTGCCACTTTCATGTGAAAAATCTTGGTTGATTACTAGGAAATAACAAATATGATATATTGTATTTTGAACATTACTGAGATGTTAATCATCCAATGTAAAGCTGTGACCACAATTTCAAAATTTTTTTTGACAAAAAAATGTATGTCCACTCCAAACGGAATACAACTATTTAAGATCTGGACGGCTGCGTAGAACGTCAATGTGTAGAACTTCAAGAATTTTCAATTCGTTTTGCCTTACACCATTCGTTTAATTAACAACTTATAGTCTGGCTGCAGGACAGTCAGTTATATATATCTGCAGTTTAAGTTAAGTTTTTGTTTTATTTTCATGTGTGTTTACTTTTGTGAACGTTTAGAGCAATTGTGTTCCATCGTAATTTCCGAAAGGAAAAATAAATTTGATTCTGATATATAGCAAAATACTGGAAAACAACAATGCTGTGGGAAACAATGGCTGGATCTCAGTAGAGATACAAAAATGATAAGCAACAGCTAAAAAGTAAACGTAAGTAAACAGCCAGAAATAGAACCAGAGCCATATTTAAGCATGTCGCATGCTTTTGTCAAATAAAATTTTGTAGGTTTTAGAGCAACATCATACCTGGAATTCCCCGGACAGCACCCTCCTCGTGTAAATGTTACTGGTGTATGGCTCAATCGACTCGTTGTTACCTAGAATTTGGGCAGTGGATGCGGTTGGCATGGGAGCCAGCAGGAGGCTGTTTCTGACACCATATCGTGCAATGTTCTCCTTCAGTGACTTCCAATCGTGAAGGTCAGTCGGTGTGACATCCCAAAGGTCATATTGCAATAGCTAGTAAAAGAATTAGAATTTGAAAATAACGTAGGTACATTGTATTATCTGACTGGTTGCAACGTTATTTATATTTATCCCATAAGAAATGGCTTATATAATTAAAATTTAATTATAATTATATTACATATAATTAATATTACAAAAACTGAGAGAAAGAGCTTATAGAAGGGTATCTCGATGACACAAATAAACAAAGCATTTTTGATAGATTATTCTTGATTAATCGCAGTGACAATTTAATCAAAATAGAATATGTGGTGCTTTTTTGTTTACAAAAATCTTTAATTCTCCCCATCTTCAAATATACCTTACTGTCACTGACATAATAGACACCAGTTAAAATTACTTTTTTTTGATTTTATACATTATTAAAAAAAACTAATTACAATATACCAATTATTCATTTCTAAAAGAATGGCATATAGATTGTATTGTAAGTTTATTCATATTCGTATTTGAAAAATTTGGTCATATAATCTAATTTTCTTTATTCATGTTGCTATCTTTCGCACTTATTGTAATCCTTTGCTGCTGTTATGTTAATAGTGGTTATTTGTGGGATATTAATAAATTTTTTATTTAAAATATACACATAAAAAAAACTACCATATAAGACAAGGCTTAAAATAGCAAATTATGATAGAAAACAGGGGGTTCACTTATACAAGCGACATACACATATTCGATTTTCGAAATTATGTTCGTCTTACGGATGGTCCGCAAAATGCACAGTTACTATTGCAATGGACATATATATTAATGTATATTAATGAATGCAATTTTAAATACTGGGAAAAAAGATTTTGATTAACATTTAACAGCCCATAAAATGGTATTATTTTGAAGATTAGCCCTATATTTGGTTCTGTTTTGTAGCCAGCTAGATGTAGTACCAAGAAAAAAAAGGGCAGCAAAATGCATGTACAGCTGAACTTGCCTAAGTCAAATCCAATATAGCATTGAAAAATTATTTGACAAAAAAACAATTTGACTTACAGATTGTTAATGGAAAACACAACAATTTGGCATGTAAAATAAGTTCAACTTAGAAATTATTTGAGTTAGGCCAAGTCAACTTAGGCAAGTTTCACTGTGTTCCAATAGTGAAACAGGGGTCGTCTTATATGCGAGTATATACAGTAATTGCATCCATTTCAAGGCAAGACTACTAACACAATACAATCCTTCGAGTCTGTGAAACATGGAGAAAGTCAACGAAAAAGGGTATTCCTCTGCTGAGGCTATACTAATTGCCTATGATGGGTAGGCTTAACAAAGCTAGGCTGCTGAAAAAGAATTTTTAAAATGGTGTAAAAACTAATGGAGCGGTTTGATAAAAAACTTCCAAACTTGACGGTGAGCTGGTATAAAGTTAAGACAACAGCTTACCCCTTTACTAATTGGTGAGCCCTCGTATGTCTCATAAGGACCAAGTTCTTTAGCGATTTCACAGCTGGCCTCCAAACTCGCGTAGTATATGGTTTCGAAAATCTGGATGTTTAACTTTTGTGCTTCCTCACTCTCAAATGGGTATCTCATTAGTATGAATGCGTCAGCTAAACCCTGAACACCAATGCCAATCGGACGGTGCCTCATATTACTCTTCTTTGCCTACACACAATAGAGAAAAGGAAATGTTTTAAAATTTGACAATACATGGCCAATAACTTAAGCTATACTCTGTATGGTAAAAGAAAACCCTTAAAATTATATATTAAAAGAATTGATTTGTTCAACTTAAATTTATGTAACTTGTTACATACGGTAATCTAATTGTCATAAAGTGATTTTATATTATTACTTTAAAATTACGTTTATTTATTCTATTGTATTATTTTAGCCATGTTGTTATCATTTTTAATGATCCAATTTTGTACTACAAAAAAATTATGTATTACATATCGAGTATTGATCTGTTGTAAATTTATATTTTTTAAATTCTGTACAGCACCTGTGATCATTTTTACTGAATATTGTTTGCACTTTATTAAATAAAGTTTTAAAGTTATTATTATTATTATGTTTTTTCCACAAATATCCAATTTCATTGATATATTATCATTCTATAGGAAGGGGGAAATTGGTGAACTTTTTTAGTTACCACAGATGGTCTTTAATACATATAAATAATTAGGGAAAATCAAACTGTTTTATTCTAAATCAATTTATTTATCAATTCTTATAAACTTTAAAATATTCCTAGTACACTTCAACTTTAAATAAAGTTATACATGAATGTTTCCCTTTCAATTTTCTGCTATTGAACATAATTATCGGTAAAATAATTCAATTGTATACATTTTTTTTATAACATGTGTTTCTCCATGTTCTAAAGATTTTTTGCATATTATATTTATGTAATGATGGTTGAAGGCAACATGAAAAGCAGTTTTTATATATATTCCCTCACTATATAAAAATTCCCTCACTATAAAAAAAAAAAAAAAATGGAATGAACAAAATTGGTATTACCAAAATGTATCAATCCTTATTAGGATATGGAAATTTATTCTGTCTAAAAAGGGTAAAAGGTGGATTTTATGGAATTTGCAAGTGCTGTACTTCAACAGTGAAGTTAAGTAGCTGCTCATGATTGTCCTCGTATAGAATCGACATCCAAATCTTTATAATTAATTACATGGGAAGTTGTCCTTGCGGGATACAAATTAACGATAATGACAGCATGCGACTAAAAAGTATATTCATGAGCTATAGAGGGTGGTATATCAGTTGGCTTGAAATCTGGTAGAAGCCAACGTTGAGGCTTGGCTTGAGTTAATGGTGATTAAGGATCTTTAAGAGCCATCGAAAACATTTTTTTTAAAGTATTATTGGAAGCGAATCCCGGAGTTAAACTTAATTGAATTTTACTTAAATTAAAGTTAAACTTACTTAAGTTTTACTTCTATAATTTTGTTTAAGTTAAACTCATTTAAGTTTTCCTTAACTTAGACTTACCTCTGGTACTGGGTAATAATTTACTTCTATAGTCTTGTTTAAGTTAAACTTCTTTAAGTTTTACTTAAGTTAAACTTAATACTTACATTTTACTTAACTTTGACTTACCTCTGGTACTGGGTAATAATTCACTTCTATAATCTTGTTTAGGTTCTTTGTTATCACCTTGGTAACTTCAGCGAGTTTCTTGAAGTCGAATGTTCTGTCATTGTTAACGTATCTTGGAAGGGCAATAGAAGCCAAGTTGCAGACCGCAACCTAGAATAGAGAATGTATTGTTTAAACATGTAAAAATCAGCCTATACTCTAAAGCCCCATCCAGACTATCAGCTTTTATTTCAAAAAAACATGACGTGCCTAAATATGGTCACTATATACCGTATATAGGCATATCATGACTATATATGGGCATATCATGACTATATATGGGCATATCATGACTATATATGGGCATATCATGACTATATATGGGCATATCATGACTATATAAGGGCATACAAGTCTTTTGTCAACAAAAATTTGATAGTGTGGACAAACCGTTACATTTATGGTACCTTGTTGAGGCACCGTGATTTATTTAGATTTATCTGACTGAGTGATCCTACCGAGTTTTATATTGCATGCGGGAAGGATAAGGGATTTATTTTCACATCATAGCTGAATTGGATTGAATTTATTCTGTTAGAGGATGAAGGACAATTGCTGAAGACTTATTTCCAGGTCATTCTGGTGGTGATTGGACAGTGTACCACTTTATGACCGTATATAGGCATATCATGACTATATAAGGGCATACAAGTCTTTTGTCAACAAAAATTTGATAGTGTGGACAAACCGTTACATTTATGGTACCTTGTTGAGGCACCGTGATTCATTTAGATTTATCTGACTGAGTGATCCTACCGAGTTTTATATTGCATGCGGGAAGGATAAGGGATTTATTTTCACATCATAGCTGAATTGGATTGAATTTATTATACTGTACAGTATACAAGTCAAATCCAAAATGGCATTGAAAAATTGTTTGACTTACAATGAAATTTCACTACCAGATCGGTAATTCAATTTGGCATGTAAAATAAGACTGACAGTTGACTTTTTAACTGCAATTGTGTGTATACTCCAATAAATAATTAGATAAACTGCATACCTCATCTGGACTGGAATACTCTATGATTTCCGTACATAGATTACTGCATTTTATCGTGCCCAGGTTTTGCTGGTTACTCTTCCTGTTGCAGCTGTCCTTGTACAGCATGTATGGTGTTCCTGTTTCTGTCTGAGCCTCGATGATCGCGTACCAGAGCTGTTGTGCCTTCACTGTACGCCTTGCACGACCTTCTCTCTCATACCTTGTTTATAATAAATGGCAGATTATTTGATTAATATTTAATATCAGCATGCTTTAAAGGCAAAGGAATAAACCATAACTTCCAGCGTCATTGCGCTGAATTGGGTATGGACGAGGTCCATTATAAATCATTCTACAACAAACTAGGCTGAACTAAACCATAACACTGGGCAAGATTTTTATACAGTGTTTCGTGAACTTATTGTTTTTTAATTGTTAGAGAGCAGAAAAATATTTAAAATTTGTTTGTTTCCTGATACAGCAAATAGACTTGCCAAAAAAAAAAATCAAGACGGAGGAGAAAATAAAAATAAAATTATTGTGGTGAATGTAAACAGTGTGGTAATGTGATGGTTAAATGCTTTAAATTTATATAATTAGGAAGAAATATACTTATCTTGTTTTTGGAGATTTCAAGCAGTGGCGGGCGTAATAAAAATAAAGAAAAACTTATTTTTCTTAAATTTCAATTTTTTCATGGTGGCGGGTGTGCTAATTGGCCAAAAATAATGTTTTATTTTTATTTGAAATCATTACTGGCAAGGAGCGGGTAAGATAAACAAGGTACAAAAATGTCTTGCCTAAGATGTAGATAGGTTATTTAAAGCGCACACACGTCAAATACGTACATAGACCTCTCTTTTAAGTCCTTATCAAAGCAGACTAGGTTCCACTAGCCGAGCTTAAGAATTAGGAGCATCATCTTTGTCTACGACTAAAAGATTCATTTTTTTTACGTCACCCTAAAATATGCATCAAGAGAAATTTGGGACATGAAAGTGATATACATTGTTATAACTATATCATGTCACAGAATGTTAATATCATACTTCTCATATAGGTCCTCAAAATCCTTTCCCCACGTATTTTCAAGTCCAGGGCATTCATGCGGGCACATCAGAGACCAGTCACCGTCGTTTTCAACACGCTTCATGAACAGGTCTGGGATCCAGAGTCCGTAGAACAAGTCTCGGGCACGGTTTTCCTCAGCTCCGGTGTTCTTCTTCAGATCAAGGAAATCAAAGATGTCTGCGTGCCATGGTTCAAGGTAGATAGCGAAGGCTCCAGGACGCTATAAAAAAGACGATGTTTAGTAAATATTAGCTGTAATATAGGAAAGTTCTAATTGGAACAAGCAGAGCAACAGTATAGAAAAGAACGCAAACAACACACAAACAACGATTGTTTCTTGTACCTTGTTTCCGCCTTGGTCGACGTATCGTGCTGTATTATTGTACACCCTCAACATTGGCACCAAGCCATTTGATTGACCATTTGTCTGTGGAAATTAACATAAAAAGCCATTTGAAAATGGATTTGAATTAAAATTCACAATAAGATGTATAAAATATGATACTTTTAGATTAATGGTTGCTTTTAAATGTCAAAATTAAATTAAAATTATTAAAATTAGGAAAATACTTAAACCTGTTGTAACTAATTAGAAAATATTAATTATTATTTAAAAGATAGATAGATAAGTTTATTTCATTAGATATTTTATATTAATGAAATTATACAAAACAAGTATACAGCTCATTCTGCAAGCGGTGCTAAGATTTTCATGAGGGTCAAAGGTCATTAAACTCTTTCAGGATATAGGGTCACCAACAAGTGTTCCTGTTGCCCTGAACATTGCAGGGTTTTAGCTGTAGAAAATTAAGGGTGAATAGTAAGTACTAGGGTAATAGTAATAGTAATACAGTAGTAGGGTGGGTGGCTGATAACATTGGTAAACTCAAAATATTAAGACTGGATTTTAAATACGAAATTATGAAATTAGGTTTAGACTGGGTGGGAAACCTCAAGGCTTGGTGGCTACGCCCACCGTAGTAACAACATTACTGGCAATGCACTGCTTGACCTGAGAAAACATACTTACTCCAGCGATGTAGCTACCAGCAGCACGGATACAATGAACGTTAACGCCGATTCCACCGGCAGTTTTGGAGATGAGGGCGCACTGCCGAAGCGTGTCATATATTCCGTCAATACTATCATCAGACATTGTCAGGAGAAAACAACTAAAATTTTAAAAAAAAACCGAAAGTCCACTGATTAATCTCAGATAAGATAGTATAATATATACTCCAAGTACTGAAATGCACGCCAACACGATGGCGTACATTTCGACACTCGGAGTATGTATTATACTATCTTATAAAAAACAAAGCAGTTAAGATACTGGTGAACAGGAAACGCAAATGTGGCAGCGCCAAGCCGAAGTCGTACAGGCAGTTTTCCAATAAATACACAAACGTGAAATAGGTTATTTATTACGATTTTTTCATTTTCCTCATAAATCCTCTAAAAATGGTATTTAAGAGAACTGGTCTTAACGTACAGACATAAATTCTTAAAATTTCTAGTGTGAAGATCTCACATTTTTCGTAGCGTTTTCTATATCTCAAATAAGGCATCAATCAAAACATGCTGGGTATGATTAGAAAGGAAATTTAGTCATCTTTCATTTCATTGGTTTACTTTAGTGTTAAAAATCCAAGTTAACGATATTTATCATGTACACAATTCTCTTAAAATTGATAAAGAAAATAGACACATTATAAAATTAAAAAACGAGGAAAATAATCACATTGGAGGAAAATAGATACTTTAGGTTAGGGGATAAAAAGAGGACCGGAGTGTTTTTCCCCCACAACTAAAGAACAAAAAGTTGGCAGTTTAAACACATCAACACACCATGAAATTGTGAGGTAACTAAAATATAAAAAGTAGCTAGTTCAGACATTTTGACAACTATAGTTGGATACATCATTTTACACGGTGATCTATAGGGAACCAATTAGAAGACCTTTAAGTGCCGCAGCATTAAATACATAATAGTTACCTTGAAAGTTGTGGACGGTTCGTCCCTGCATTGAAAAGTGTTGGAGATGCATGCGTAAACCATCTTTCTGACATAAGATTGTATGTCTGTCAAAATAAAATAAAATATTTTTTTTTAATCTGTTTTTAAAACAACTCGTAAGGTTCCTACAATGCAGAAAAGATTTCCTTTCTCCAATAAATGATTAAGGTATAATATATGTAACTTTCTCTCTGAAGATCTTGTATTGTGCCCTTCCAGGCTCGCAACCAGGGCCTGGAGGGCGACAACTTTAGTGATATTTTATCATAACCCTTTTCCGTAAAAGAAACGCTTCCGAGTTAAACTTGGCCTATAGGAAACTCCCATTCATATGAACCTAGTTACAGGCCTAAATGCTTTACACTGCCCTCAGTGAATTGTTTCAAGGCAAGATTAGATCGATGTGGGGGTTATAAAGCCCACCCTTTCCCACATTCATCAAGTATCAAATTTACATTTCTGTAGAAAGGTCCTATGGTGTAAGTTCTGCTACCAATCTACAGTAAGCACAAGCTTATTCCACTGTTGTTATTGTATTTACCTCAATGACAGCATCGATGTTCTCATGGTGAATACCAACGGCTACTCGCATCAACATATGCTGCGGACGCTCGGCAACTGTGGAAACCAAATAGTTTAGTATGAATATATCTAGCCATTTATTTCATGGTTATTATAAAACACACTATGAAGAACTGTTCTTCAGAGAGAGCAGCTTAGCTCAGTCAGCTAATCTGGTGGTAGCCACTGTGTGCGCACTGAACCGTGGAGATCTCTAGGTTCCCGGTTCAATTCCCATCGCTGCCTCTCCTTGTGTTTCTGCTAGAGGGCTGAAATACAAGTTACATAGCGCACCGTCTTTCCGATGAGACGTTTAAGCTGTTGGTTCCGTGTGCATTTATGGCCCATGTGCACGTAAAAGAACACAGTACACTCTTTGGAAAAGAGTAGGGGATTGTCTCCCGGTGTACTGTCCCTTCACCACCAGAAGGACCCCACTGGAAATAAGTCTTCTTCTAGACTTTCGTGGGCTATCCTTGGTGTTTACACCGAATAAATCCAATCCAATAAATTGAATACAAAAGCAAAACATGTTAAAATGTGTTTACCACACAGCATGTCAGCACCAGATGAAAAACAAGTCTGCATTAGATGAATGATCATCAGCGTCATCATTGCTGTGACTGACCTGATCACGATCATTTTAATCATCTTACCTTTTCCATCCAGCTTCAGAAGGTATGATCGCTCAAGGGTTTTGAAACCGAAGAAATTATAATCATAGTCACGATCATATATGATAGCTGAGTTCAAACGCTGTAAGTTAAATGAAATACCAAATTATATAACAATAATTAATAATAATACTGTAATTTTTTTATTTTTATAAAACATCATATCACTCCTATGTCATTTTGTGTTACTGTCAAATGACAATTTAAAGCACCTATCCTACATAATATCTAGAGGTATAGGGATTCCAGATTTGGAATTGAAAAACAATTGAGATCCATTAAAATGACAAAAATGAGAAGTGAAAATTTTATGTTTATAATTAATTGTTTTTTAAATATATTAATTATTTTAAGGGGTAGCTGGGTCTGTGTAAGTTAACCTCTGACATGATGGGTCTGCGTCGGAGACAGCCACATCGTTAAAATGTTAAACATATTTACCATTTTTCACTATGGCTTAAGACTGTTTCTCGACGATGAAACACGTCGGGCTGGGTCCTACAACATTGCCTAATCAATGATGAACAAGTCAACATTTCCAATTAAAATTCAACATTATTTCCAATTTATAACAGTAATATTATAACAAACAAAAGGTATAAAACTTGCCTCTTTGTTCCTTTTAATGATGTCATAAATTTCATCAGAGATCATTGGCGATGCTTTCTTGTTACGTGGATTGACGTATGAGTGCAGATCATGCATTACATCTGGGAAAATCAAATAAATAACGGTAATATTCTTTCATGTTTTCATTTAATTTCTTTAGGCACGAGTGCCAAGGATATGCCAATAAGTGAACTTAATCACTGTCCTATGTGGTAATTCCATTAAACAACAGGTGATTTAATGGACCAGTACACCGGGGTAGCCCCCTACTCTTCTAAAAAATGTGTACACCGGGCCTACGGTTTAAAGTCCTTAGAGATGACTTGTTCCACCAACGGAACCATTGACAAGTGAGCTGTTCCAACCAGCGCCGATATTAGAGCTGAAGGTTACGGTGCCCCTGACTTAACCGCTTGACCAATCAACTCGCCTAATGTTGCTTATATATGGTATTTAATGGTGTGCTAAATTAGCAACACGACTAGAAACACTCCCAAAGGAGCAGACAAGGGCGGATCCAGGATTTCTAAGACTGGAACGACTTTCTCAGAATAGTGCAAAGTGAGGGGTGCTAACGTGGGAATAAAAGGGGGAGGTGGGTTGCGCAGGACACTCCCACACAAACTATTATTCATGGACATTCAATTCTGTAGTTTTTTTTAGACTTCCCCGCCACCCTTTGCCACCTCTGTAAGAGCGCTCTGGCAGAGATGGTTGCATAATGCTCTTTGTGCATTTAACACTCTGCCCGCCAAACACAGATATCTCCGTGTTTGGAAACGCAACGCTTGACACGGAGATCTCCATGTTTTAGGTTATTTAATGGAATCCCATAGATCGAGCAATTACTGACCAACAATTTTAACGCTATATTCAGTCTGGACCGTAAGTATTTCACTATTTGTTTGTTTACATTAGCGTAGAGCGGTATTGATTTACTTTCACAAAAGCGCAATTATCTCAGGTTCGTTGTGCGAAATTGAGTAAATCTCCAAAAGTGAGTCATTTTCATTTTACTGTTTCGGGTCACAGATTGTGTTTAGAATAAAGTGTTTGGTACCATTGCAAAGCTAAAATGTTGGTAGTTCTTGTAGTATTCACTACATGTCAATCTGATCACAAACGCACTCTCAAGGAGCTTGGGAAAAGTGTTAAAATTTGCTAAAAAGTCTGGTGGTGAACTTAACTTTAATAAGTTAATACATAAGAAAGAATAATACATATATTGAAACACATACTCCAAGTATTGAAATGCACACCATTGTGCATTCTATTACTTGGAGTAGGTATTATACTTACTTATGTGAACCTTTCAGTTTTTTTTCAAGTGATTACATCTTATATAGATACTGTATTATTTAAGAAAAAAAAATCTTACGACTAAATATTTTCTTTGTTTCCTTGTGGAGGTTAGAGACAGCGATGCGTGCGGCCAACACTGCGTAATCAGGATGCTTGGTCGTCATGGTAGCTGCAGTTTCAGCTGCCAAAGTGTCGAGTTCAACAGTGGTGACTCCAGGGTATATCCCACTGATCACTTTTTGGGTGATTGCAACCTATTTTGTATTCAAAAGATGATATACAGTGTTAATTTTACTAAACTGGAATTTCACAAAAGTAAGTTTATTGGTAGAAAACTGGTTAGGTATGCCAAATTCTGGCATCAGGACAAAAGCAGGTGAAATTTCACACAGGAATATAAAATCAGTAGATGGAAAATGTGTTATAATAATATTAATGCATAATTTTTTTTTATATAAAGCTACTCTCCAATAAATCTAAAATTTTACAAACCACTTTTTTGACCATAAAATTAAGAGGTGGTCTTAAAGGTGGGCCTTCAATTTGTGGGTTAGATACATTTAAAATGACATCCTAATAAATGGAACAAACAGACCACATTAGTAGGGCGTCCTAAACTGGCCGCGTATTGCGTATCGTTCGTTTATGCTCTCATGAGCAGCTGGCTCTCTTGTTACGTAACTGCTATATTTTTGTGCAATTACTTGTTTTGCCTTGGAACGGCCATGTTTGCCATCGTGAACTTACCGCATCAACAAAATCGGTGTTCAATTTATAACACAACTTGTGGACTCTTGATGTAATTTTATCAAACATAACCTTTTCACTTCTCCCATCTGTAAACGACAAAAAAAAAGGAACGTAAAAAAAAAGATTTTTCGGCCGTCATGTACTCAGGCTGCACAGTATGGCCTGTCTGGAGAATACAGTACATCCTCCACATAAAAATCAGGCAAGGAAATTCATCAGTGCGCTTGGAAAAATAAAGGCCAATTTCCAAGCAGATATTATTTTAATCTGAACAATAGATTATTGTGCATTTTTTATGATGAAGGGACTGTTTATATTTGGCCAGTATATTGTAAAAAAACTGGTTTTCATGTCCTAAGATAAATATTTGTAATATTTAAAAACGGGGGGACACGGGTTTTCACTAAGGTGGTCGCGCTAGACGGCTACCGCTCGACATTTCTGACCACCACTCGCATGCTGCCGACCACTACTATTTTTGCAATAATAGTTGAAAAAAACAATGTATCAAAATACTTACGTTTCATGACTACAGAATAGAGTTATCAATAACAACTCACTGGCTAGACAATGAGCTGCGTTAGATAAGGCAAAGATATCAATTAACGTCTCCTTGGTTACGTTAATTTGAAACCCTAATTAGGTTACTAGGGCGCCTGGGCTTTGAATTGTATCATTTGTTAAAGTTAAACTTGTGTCTGCTCAGGCCGAACAAATAGCAATTAGCCTACGTTCGTAGCCAATATTGTAAAATTATTTCTAAAATGATTCCAACAAATCACACTGGGCCTATAATAATTCATAAACCTGTCTAATTTCCATCTTCATTTCAGTTCTTTACGTTTATTTTAGATGCGAGGCGTACATTCCATTTTCTTCATCTACAGAGAATCATGCACATGGTTTCTCTGTGGCGTTGACGACGAATTTCTTGCCAGATACACACATTACATTTAAGCCCAATTTTTACACTATCTACATACATTTTACATGTATAAGAAAGTATAATACATACTCCAAGTATTGAAATACACGCCATCGTGTTGGGATTCAATATTTCGACATTAATTATGTCATCATCATTCCTGATGATGACATAATTAATGTCGAAATATTGAATCCCAACACGATGGCGTGTATTTCACTACTTGGAGTATGTATTATACTTTCTTATCTGAGATTAATCAGTGGACCTTTCGGTTTTTACATGTATCTCTACAAAATCGAGTCTGTTCAACCCGAATGAAGCACAAACATGCCAAACATGGGGCAATCAATGCCATCAATGGGGGGGAAAACAAATAAACATGATTCAATTTATTATAGATATGCTTAGCTATATTATTGTAACAGGCATATTATATTATATGACATAATGCAACAAATTAATCAAGAGCATACACAGCAAAACGTTTTGTTGACCTTCCCATTAGCTCGCGTGAGAACTCTCATGGAAGTTACCGCGCTGCATGTAAAGTTTCGCAGCCTCTCTATTAATATTACTTGGCGATACTCGCTAGATAAACAAAACAAAATGCACGATACGACGCTCGTGTACCGTAATAAATCAAATCTTATCTCGGTGAGATAAGCAAACAGCGACATTGGCTTTGATTTAGTTGAATTCTCAACAGAAACACACTTGGTAATACATTTTCAAAATTGTACCAGCTATTCACAATGAAAATAATTAAGTCGTCACAATTAAATAATAATTGAGTAAGGCCTGAAGGCCTACTTTTTATTGGGCTATGTCACATAGCTAGGCCTAGTAGCTTTGCCTGCTGCATATATAGGCCTATCTCACCTACACTACAATTTTCGGCCTCAACCTTGGCAAAGGACGGAGTTCCACCACTCCTAACATGCTGGTGAGAATCCTGAATCAATATGTATTTTACTTAATAACTGCTCCCAAATTTTTTGTCAAATATGCTTTTACTGTTGAGCCTGGGGCTGGCTTCAAATTAACTACATCATACTTCGCAGGTAAACTGCTTAGGCCTAAGTAAGGTCCTTAAGCCTATATCCTATAGAAGCGGCCTAACCTAGGGCCAGGCCTACTGTAGGTAGATCAACTTACTCACTGGACTGGGTCACTGACACTGGCTGTGTTGTGCAGCTGCTGTCCGGCCTGTCCTCTGTCATTCAACAAAGGACTTTCTTTTCACAGCATAAATTATAGTTAAAAGCCTACCTAGGCCTACATTTTGTATAGCCTAGGTAGGCTATAGCAGATCCAAAAAAGCATTTAGGCCTACCCTAGGCGGCCTATTATTACAATTCTTACAAAGCAGGCCTATGGCCTAGCGTAGCTAGCCCATAGGGCCATGCCTAGGCTAGGCCTTCCTGGCTAGCCTAGCTAGGCTAGGCCTAGGAGGCCCCGTACAAATGACCTAGGCCTAGGACTGTCCTAGGGGCCTAATGCATACAAAAAAATAACTGAAAAAAATATATATAGTTAATATAAGCATACCTCGCTTCACAACGTACAGAGGACCTGGCATTTTGAACTGTGTTGTTTGGAAAGATAACGAAAGAAACGAACAGTACAAGAGACACCAAACCTTCCCGCTAGGATTTCAAGCGCCAAATGTATAGAAGAAGGCGCCAGTCTACAATACATTGATTGCTTCCGGGAGAGAGGTATCGATCTTGTCAGTTGACCAATAGAAGACGAGAGCGCTTCGCGCGAAGTCCAAAATGATAACAAAGCTAAATACTGTACGCCGCCCCCAAATCACGAAAAGATCTTTGGAAAAAAATGATATGTTGTACCATGACCTATACATAATAAGTCCATGGTTGTACCAGGTTCTAAATAACAACTCCCTGGTTGTACCAAGGTCTTATAACTGAATCATCAGGGGTGGATTTAGAGGGGGACGGGGTCGGGGTCGAGCCGCCCCACCCCCCCCCCCTTTTTTTTTTTGAAGTAAAGTTTAAAAAATAACAATTTAATAAATATAATATATATTAGAATATAATATAATATAATAATAATAATAATAATAATAGTAATAATAATAATATTGTCAATTTATATATAGCGCATAGGTCCTATATAATTGACGCCCAAAATGCCTTCTAGAGGTTTTTGTCCGTCTATATTAAAAAATGTTAATTTAATTCTACAACAATCTACCGTATATTGTTATGAGGTCACTATCATATCTCGATTTTTTACTATAATTTTAATGTACTTCAGTTCTTTGTTTTAATACTATTCAATATAAATGTATTTGTAATTATTTCTACCCTTTTTACTTTTAGAGTACTGTTTATTTTTCATTGTGTTTTCTAATTATATATACATATATATATATATACTGTATAAAAAACCATGACAATAACATGTTACAACATGTCCAGGATATCATTTCAGATCAGTATTTTTTAATTCAATATTTAATGTTAAACTTAAATCTGTAGGCTATGTATATAAATTGCAATAAAATCTTACATAATTGAGATTTAATATGATAGACATTTATTATTTTAGGCCCAGGGCATTTATTGTTGAGAAGGGGTTTGAGGTTATTGTTGAGAAGGGGTTTGAGGGGATGTTCTTTTTTGAGGGAGGTGTTTATTATTTTAGTGTAAACTGAATATATAATATTCAAATCAAACGCAGGGGCGGATCCAGAGATGTCCAAAAGGGGGAGGGGAAAAGGGGGGTCGAAATTTGGGCCGATCAAGACAACAATGTCCTTCAGGGTCCGGAAATTTTTGTGTTCTAGACGCCCGAAAATAACATTTGAGGCGTTTTGGGCTATAATTTTTTTCACTTTCTTTCTTTTTTTCTTTCTTTTTTCTACCTCCCAAAAGGGGGGCCTCTAAATCCGCCCTTGAAACGCCTCTTAATATCAGGCTGTGGAACACATAATTACCGTAAAAATGTATTATTGCGTGATGATCATAAAGACTTATTGATACCAACCAGGTTAGAAAAAATGTTTTACTGGAGTAGAGCTATGTATTGAGAAAGATGTTGCTATCATTAGTTTTAATTAGGCCTAGAATCAGTTAGAGTTTGATATTCGAGGACAATAGGGGCGTTTATTAGAGGAGGCGTTTATATCCAAAATGAGGATCTGGAGAAGCGTTTACTCGAGGAGAACCTTACTCAATGAGGAACAGTTATTTGAATAAATATGATATATTGTCTGGGGTAGGCACAGGATTTGGAGGTAGGGGTGTGTGAGAATCGACACCCCTCAGCCCTATGGTGGGGCTGAGGTGAACAGACTTTTAGAATAAGGATTTAGTTGCCCAGAATTTTCACTCTCATCCTTAAAAATCTTGCAACACAAGAATTATTTTTCTTGATACACCTGTAGTGGTTGCAACCGCACTGCCAGCACACACCTTACACTCCCAACATACCCGCATCCGCCCGAGTGATTATGTAAACAACATCGAAACATCAAACATGATAGGCCTCATAAGCTGAAGAATCAATATTTTATTCAAGTTTAATATCGTTTAAAAAAATGCATTGAAATACTACAAGAATCAACCGATAATTTGATCACTTTGACTAATTTAAATTTTTTTAATTTGTATTGAATTTCACAGCAAAGAAAACGTAATCCTAAAATCAGTGACAATTTTACATTATATTTCAAAAATGCAATGCATTAAAAGATTGCAAGAATAATCAATCAATTAGTTTGATCACTTTGACTAACTTGATTTTTAACATTTATATTATATTTTATAGCCACAAAAACCTAAAACCAATTTGTAGTTAAAATATTATACTGTACCAAATTGTATTTAAAGTAACCGGCAACCATACGGCATACACCGAATGCCGTAGCCAGCTATTGAGACAGTCCCACAGACCACTTTTCTAATGAGTACACAAAGAATGGGTCCACATTTTAAAAAATGGGTCCAAAGTATGTAATTTTATGCATAAAATGGGTCCAGGTTTTCCATATTTAGCTTAAAATGAATAAAATTTAAGAAAAATGTGTCCACAATTTGAAAAATCCTGGCTACGGCACTGCACAACCAGTCATTAAAGAAACAATAGTATTTATCAATCATTAAAAGAATAATGTCAAATTTCTAACACTAAAATCATTTACAAGCAAAATATAATAACAAATGCAAAATGTTTCATCAACCATTAACACAGCTATATGGATACTTCAAAATAGCGAGAGACCTTAACATCTACAAAACAAGCATTATATCTAACTAAATAATTGGTTCATTGAATAATAAAGTGCTTATAAACATTGGAACATACTTCCAAACTGGGACTGAGGTATTATTAATCAATAACCATGGTACATAAACTAACATTAAAACTATGGTGAAATAAATAAATAATAATTAATCAAACATTATTTTTAAATTTATTAATTACTTGGCCTACAAAAGATTTTCTTGAAGATTAATATAATTATGCATATATAAATGTTAACAAAATCATTAAATCCGACATTTGAACGACAATGTTGTCTTATTCAAATATAAGTATATATAAAAATGTTCATATTTACCAATAATTAAGATAAGAATGCCTAAGTACTGCAATATTGAAAGAAATATCTAATAATTGGTGCTGTATTAATCAATTCTTAAAACACAATTGTGAGTTTAAAATGTCAATTTCAATGCATTAAACAATAATAGAATGCATAAATATACATTTTATTAATCAAATACTGCCAACCAACAACCCTAAAAATGGACAGTACATGTTGTCTTATCTGACTGTAAGTAAATATAATAATGTTCATATTTATCAATAATTAGGTAAGAATGCCTAAGTACTGCAATATTGAAAGCAACATTGAATAATTGGTGCTGTATTTATTAGACTTAAAACACAATTGGAAGTTTAAAATGTCAATTTATGTGCATTAAACACTAATAGAGTGCATAAATATACATTTTATTATATCAAATGCTGCCAATTAACAACCTAAAAATAGACAGTAACATAATATCCGAAAAAACAATATCAATCACTAGTGTTACATTAGCACTAGCACTACAGTAGTGCATGATTGCATGCATATTCACATTGTCATAATTCATGTACATAATGCTATAAACGATTTAATTCTTATCGTACTAAACTCTGAAATAAAAATGTCTGTTTCCATGCATTGTGTTTATAAATACAGTATGCACAAAAAGAATTAATTATTATAAACACACAATAACATTATTTAGGCCCTATTTATATGATTTATTACAATTTATATATCGTTTTATTTATCAAAAATATCATGTTTCTTTATTATCCTTGATGATACCATATTATAACACAAAACAATCACTAGTTATCAATACTAGATAGGTATAGGATATAAAACCTAATACACTTAGTAAACAATAATTCATTGTTCTAAAATTTCTAAAATTTGGTAAAAACTCTCAGACTGCACATAGATACATATTTGCAGAGACTTTGTATAATTCCTTAATCCAAAGATATAAAATAAGGTATACTTGGTCTGCAATGACAGACAAACATAGGATGCAATGTCATCAAGGTCTCTTTTGCTTAAATGTGAATTTTTGGCGATTTGTGGTCGAGTACGGGGTACAGTTACTGGTCACACATGAATCAAAAGCTATCTTGGCTACGTCTAAAAGTGTCAGACGAATCACGTTTGAGACATACTCAATAAAATATTAATGAATGTGTTTGAATATAGAACTGTTAATCCTGAGTTACTCACATTCAAACACTTAAAACCTCAAAGTGACACTTCAAAATGCTGTATATATACTTACTATTTTTCATCTTCTTTGTTTAAAAGTAAAATTAGAAATTACTTAGAAAAATTTAGAAATTAGAAAATTTGTGTGATGTTTTGATGACAGTGCCATGCCACTTTTGTTATTCCTTGGCTCTAATTTGGATTTTCTTGCAATTTGTTCTGGTTATATTCTTTTTATGTACTTCATATTTGTTTGATTGCCAAATGGAATAAAATAATAAAAAATAAAAACATATTTCTTAATTGCTAAAACAGTTTTAATATTCTTTAAATATTCATGTAAAATTAATATGAAAAATGATATAGTTTATCCTTAATTTATTACATGAAAACAGATAGCTACCAAGCAAGCTTTGAAAAATTTGGCAATCTTAACAAGTAAAGGCATTTATTGTATTATGTGTTATGCATTCAATATATAAATAATGTATATAAATTTGATATAACGCATAAGCAAATTCTCAATGCGCTGTAAATGTAACGAGAGGATAATAGCGCTCGATGGCTTTCTAAAAAATACAAAATCTTGAATCTTGGACCTTAAATAATATATTAACTTAATTTGTTTTTCGTACAAATCTACAGAATATCTGCTTGTGTATGCCTTGTGACACAGTCCACTAAAGCATGTGGACCTATTTGATAAAAAATAATAAAAAACAATAACTTCATGTAGGCCCTCTTTATGCATTTGAATTCAATCAATATAGTTTATAGGAAACATCAATTCAGGTAATGGTGGCATTTAAATAGAAATTTTATAGTTAGGCCTATTAAAAGGTTATTGTTATTGCTTGTGTCAGCAGACAATTAAAATCGGTTCATTGAGAAGCAATTACGATATCCATCATATCTAAAATTGCTTTTGTATTAGAGATGCACTTATCTGCATTATTTCTGTTGAAAAGATCATGTGGTATTTGATCATCGAAGAGACGAGGGTATCGCGCTCTGTTGTGATCTTTGGCATTGATACAGAGTTCATTCACATATTGACGAAGGTTATTCGAACACCCTGGTAGACTAGATACAGTTATCGCTAACCAGGTAATGTCATGCGTACGGGAATTATTTCCAGTATGTGATAGTATAGCAGCTTTCATCGATTTTTCTGCAGATTGTAGACATTTATAGGCAACCCATTCATAGCTTGGATACCCATCAATGTCGTTTCTTGCTGCTTTAAGGTCCTCTCGTGCTTGTTTTTGCCATATTCTTCCTTGGTCTGGCATAGGCCTAGGTGGCGGTGAGGAAGCATTTGTAAATCCAGTATGAGTCCAACTAGATCCGCTACTAAAACTAGCTCCTCTATTATAACTAGAACCATAATATTCACGCCATCTCCTATCCCTGCCAGCTCTTCGGTCCCATCTTGTGTAGAACTCATTCCATCGTCCTGATTCTCTAAAAGTATAATTTGTCCTGGTGGCTTCTGCATCTTTTCGCTGCCTGGGAAGTCCCCTTTCTAGACGATCTATTTCATTTTTCAGATGCTTAAAAACTTCACTACAAAACTCCTCTCGGCCAGGATTTTTATCTGGATGCCATTTTAAGTACAGTCGCTTGACTGCTTTTTTTCTTTCGTCTTCATCTAGCTTCCAAATTTCTTCTAGATTGTCTGAAACCTGATTTTTTGTTTCTTCAAGATTTTCACTTAGCGGAGGTGTTGGTGCTCTTTGTCGATAAGTTGGAGCTCCTCGTTCACTCTCAGAACCTGTCGACATGTTCACCATTGCTTGCAAAGCCATTTCTTTGTGATGGTTTACGTCTGTTCTAGAATTCCCAAGCACCCACTTATAAAGATGTAATGCACTTACTTCAATGGTGGACTCGCGTCCAATATCTATTTCATACACCATACTGATTGAGTTTAATTCTGAATTCTTACGAATGATGCATCGTAAAATCTTTGCATACACATACACTTCGTCACCTGATTCTCCGAGTTCATAGACGACATATTCTCCCTCTGTGAATGTATTAAACGGATCGTTATCAAGAGATTCAACTATATAATCTGGTAACTGAGACCCTAAGTCTGGCACAGACATACGTTCTGATGCTTGTGCGTTGGATCGCAAGATATTATGGTCACTTAATTGAGTCTGAATTTCAGTTAGATCACAGAAAATAATCATCGCCACCATGAAATTGTTGCTGATAAGCTCTCCAGTAAGTTTACAGATTATGTCAGCCAGTGATAATTTTAGAAGATCGTATTTTCCTGAATCGTGGTGTCTGATAAAAATTGTTTTATGTGTATGTTCTGCAGTAGTTTCATCTAAAAGGAAACACTGTTTATCGATTGTGCTTCCTTCAATTACTTCATCTGATTTCACAAGGTGTGTCTCAAGCTTTTTTAGGCAACGGATGGACAAATAATCTTTTGATAATGCTGGAACATCAGATCGAAGATGTTCGGGAAGTTTTAGACCCTTGTTGTTTGCTTCGTGTTTTATAAGGCGATATATGCCATTTCGAAATTCTATAGAATGGAGCTGACGTCGAATGATGTTTAACTGTTCGCAAATTCTTTCATTGGCATAAGGACACATATTTTCCTCTGGTTTTGTAGTCATGATCTCTTGGACTTGATTGCTGAATTTACATGGTTGAAGATGTATTGGCATTTTCTGAATATATTCTGTGGCATCATTCTCCAATCCTACGTCTTTAAGATCAATTAGAACATTCCTATCATTCTCCTCTTTCATTCTGACTTCAAACATTGGCTTATCATAATACTTCAACTTACTAGACTCAATAAGTTGACAACTTCGATTTGGTAGGTACAAAACCATTATATCTTTTAACCAATTATTCTCTTCTTTGATGTATGATTTGAAGATTTTGTGAACTGCAAATGTGATCATCTTCATCAAATTCGGATTATCTCGAAAAGTTTCATCTTTAATATCTTCGTGAATCATTGCCAGAAGCTGACTGCACTGCCAGATAGTAGGTTTTTCTTGAGCACCAAGACGACTGAAGAGCCCCATATAAGGAACAAAGTATTCTGGAATCTCATATATATATGGCACAAGAACAAGTTCTTTTTTTATTGTTTTCACAGTGAATTTCGCTTTTATCAAATGTCTATCATTATCGACAAGCATAATAGGCTCGTCATTTAATGCGGTCACTATCTTTCCATCAAATTCCAACAATTTTCCACACAAGAATGTATAGATGTCTTTCATAACCCTGCGTAAATGATCCTGACATTTAACAGAGGTTGCTGTACTTGCGGACTTCTTCGAATGGCCATATTCGTCCTTGAGATTAGTGCATAAGTTTTTGATGTGCTTAATAACAATATCAACAGATGGTGTTTCAGAGGCATTTAATGCCGGTAAAAGTTGACGAAAGGATAGACGTTTAGGGGAAAGGTATACATTAGGCACGGCATAATATGGCAATAGATTTGCACTTGTCCACACAAGATTCTTATTGGAGGAAGTCATAGCACCATTATATGCTATTCCTACCCTTCCTTCTGAATGTTCTTTATATTGCTTATGCAGTGCCGCCAGGTTTGTATCCACTGTGTGCGGGGCTATAAATTTGATGCAGCGGAGATGTTGTAAGAAGTAGTTATCACTCATTAATTCTCCACTTTGAGCAATATGGTCGATGACCGCTTTTGATTTTTCTGTATGTTTCTTAAGATCATACCAGATCATGTCAAGTTCAATTTTTCGAGCAAATTCCAGTACATGTTGCTGAGTAGGCTCTGTTATCAATCCTAATTCTCTCATAAAGGTATTCCAACCATAGTCACAAAACGGCTCCGGAAGGAACATTTCTGGTTCTAGCATACATTTGAATAATGGAATGGAACTGTCAAAAAAATCACAGATGCGTTTGATTGGCTGGCCTTCATGGGATACTAGAGGCATGGTCTTCAGGTTCATGTAAGAGATCATAGCATTCCTATCTGCTTTGGAAAATGAGAAAGGAAGAAGAGCTTGAATTCGCTGCAGGTGTTTCACTCTTGCTTTATGTGTAAATGCATTAAATGCGGGTAGGATAAACTCTTTATAAACATCTTCTTCTGTAGATGTAGTCAAACCCAAAAGTTCATGTAGCTTCGTCAATGAAGAATCTTCTTCAATAAATTCAGCATTTGTTCTAGCTACCCATTTTTCTCTTTCAACCTCTGGAATGCCAGAATGAAGAACAAAATGTTGGTAGTTTCTATCCAATATGATATGTTCACCATGAATTGAAAGATAACAAGGTAACTTCTTCAATTTACTACTATGTTGTTTATTTATTGATGATCCAATAAAACGTACAAAAAACAACAAGATATTCTTCTTGTTCCCATTATCCAATACATCAAAGGATCTGTCATTGTTGTCTAACAAGGACACGAGGCTTGTTAGAACTCTTTCAGGAGTGCTGGCAGTGGCAATAAATCGTTTAATAAAGTCAGTGATATTTGATTGTGAGCTAAGCCCATAAAAGTATGAAGCCTGTGGCTTTTGAAATAAAGTACAATCAACTACTGGTAGTTCCATCTTTGCTAATGCATCTCTAATGTGGCCATCAGTTATATTGCTATGGAGCACTGAATCAGCAGAAGAAAATGGCATCAGGTACTGATTGAGTTTACATGAGGGCAATGTTACCTTTACTGGAATCACAGCCCAGTTTCCCATTAGTCTCTTAACGTAAGCACATCGATCATCATGACATTGAAGTTTTTCGAATTCCTCTTTCAGGAAATCCCAGAGTGTTTGAATCCATGCTTTATTTGGTATGACATCATTATTGGGGTTCCATGAAACTTTATCACACGCATTGAATTGTGGATCTAGATTAAAATGCAATCTTTCTACCAAGTTACTAATTCCTAAATGCTTGACATGGGATGATTTGTCAGAGAAATGATCTTGTGCATTTTCATGAACAAACTCAGACCAACAATTAGGCAATAATGAATGCTTTCTTGAAAGAAAGTATGTATTTGTTGAACTGAATTTTCGTAGCCACGAGTCTTGAGTGAGTAGAAGTGGCAAACCCTCTAATGACATGGAGCCATCTTTTAAATTTCCATTATTGTCAATATAATTAAGGAGTACAAAGTAATTTGATTTACTTTGAAGACGTGACTCAGAGATGTGACACGGTATTGGTCCTGGATTAAAGTCGGACTTCAGAAAATGGACAACTGTATCAGCTGAAACCAACTCGATCCCATGTGATTGTGATTTGGTTGCTACATTCTTCATCAGTATATCGACTGCCGCATTTAAATCTTGGTAGATATGCTTTGGCACAATAGTAATATTGAAACCTATGTGTTGAAGTATAGCTTTTAAAAGCATATTCTTTTTCTCTGTTTCACTCCATGCAGAAAGCATTTTATAAAATAACGCCTGGTTATCCTCCTTATCAAAATACGCTTTTCTACCTGTAACGCCTGTAGCAGGAAGCCATTCTAACATGTATTGAATTACACAATTGTCATCCAGTTTGTAGGCGATTATGTCATCTCTACGTTGGACCACAGGAAACATCGGCATCTGACTGCGAAGAATATTAAGAAACACATGCTCAGCCAATCGCTTCCAGTCACTATGTACAAAGTATATATTTGGAAAGTATCTCCAATATGATTTCAATATATTGTGTAAACATTGGGAAGTGCAGGTAATTTGGGATTTTTTGTCATTTACTGGTCCAAGTTTTCTGTTCCTCAAATGTCTCAGTAGTTCAGAGTACGAATAAGAAATTACCTCGCCCATTACGAACAAATTCCAATCCGAATTTTGAGAAGTATTCGACAAATTTCGTCTACTCGGATCAAGACTGAAATGTCCATTAACACTCACAGGTAGTTTTGGATCAATTGGAATGGGCAGAAAACAATACGTACAGAATGAATTCCTATAATCTGACCCTCGTAAACGTGCTGCTACGCCTCCACGAGGTAGAAGTTTGAGGTCTCCTTCTTTGTATGCTGACGAAAGATTTATGGGTATTTCCCCAGCGGATCCTATGCGTTGGTTAACCAACCACACCTCAGTTTTTTTGCTGCTATCAGAAATCTTTATCTCATACGTAATGTCTTTCACCTCGATATCTTCTAATGTCGTTTTCTTTGCACATTCTTTTACATAGCTGTAGAATTCATGTCGCTTTTGCTCATCTTCTTCAGATAGTTCTGCTTTAACAGAGTAATCAGTTTTCATTTTGTGTTGGTTCTCATTGATATGTGAAACGGTGATTTTCTTCACATTATTCAGGTACAGGAGCATATCAAAGGCTTTTAATTTGAAAGTGTCGAGTAATCCTTGCAGTTTCTTTCCATCAAACAACTCTCGACTCATGACCGAATCTTGATTCAACTTAGCGTAACTACTCATTTCAGTAGTGCGCAAAGGAAATCTAAACATTGTACATCCTTTATTTGGAAGAGAGTCGAGACGAAAGCAAGAAAGGGCATCTCTAAACAACTTGTTAACCCTCGGATCAATATCAAATTGACGTCCGGGCGCGTCTACAGTGGCATTTTCGATAAATGCGCAGTGAGGGTCGAAAACACAAAGCGTGTCATCATTAGACAAGAATGTTGGGCAGTCAGTAAGATGGTAAACAGAATTAAACCCAATGCCATACTGGCCAGTCTTATCAGGATGTGTAGATTTACTGCCAATTCCAAGATCTTGTATGCCCTTCAGATCACTTTCAGTAAATGGTTTGTTGTTGAAAACACATAATGCTGGTCCAAGTGTCTGTTTCCACGATTCACAAAATACTTTTTTATCAGGATGTTGACGTGGATCGTATATGAAATTGATTTCTTCTGCACCGGCATCGTCAGCATTTTGTAGCAGCTCCTTTAATATTGCCTCATCACATGGATATCCTTCTAAGATTTCGCTGATTCGACTAGTCAGCTTTTGTACTTGGCCAAACTTTGTACCAAATTGAAGTTTGATTTCATTCCTAGATAAAATGTTTAGTCGTATATCTTTCACACCAAGCTTATCAGCCACTGAGTGGGGAATGAGCTCATGGCACAATATCTCATCTCCTATATCATCATCTAAACTGTCATGAAGACAGAAGCTCAGTTCATTAGCTGGTCGCAGATGTCTATGACTATCAGGAATCAACATTTGACGTTCATCATCACAGGTTTTGTGTGTAGCAAAACTATGAACCAAGTCTATTGCCACAGAGAAATCTTCTTCATTCAAAGCGTTTTTGTTGTATTTATCTTGAAGAAAATAAATGATGTCTAACAATGTCGAAGCGCTGAAATCTTCTTTTATGCCTAGAATTGTAAAAATATTACAAAAAATTCTGAGTTCAGTTGGAAGTCTGTAGAGGTAGGGCTGAAATTCTCGTTTGCAACTTAAAGTGACGTTCTCAATTTTTACAAACTTTCCAGAGCACAAGACAACTTGTAAATTTTGCAGGGCTTCCTTGATAACTACACTTTTAGTGTTCATGTTCTTTTTTACTTCTTCCATTAGAGCCATATACATTTTGAAAACTCGTCCAACGTTGGAGAATTCAGTTGCAATCAAAAGTTTCAGTTGTTCGATGACATCCGCCAAGTCAGGATTGACTTTAATTTTCAGTAGCATATCTGTAAGCATAGAACATTTTAGTTCTTTGGCAACGGGGGCAACTGCCCCTACATATTCTTTTACTTTCGAGCTGTAAACACATTTTGGCGACAAAAATAAATCTTTTGTGTTGGCCCATGTCAGAGGGTAGTCTTTAGGAGGGTGAGTTTCCACTGGTATGAATTTGATATCATGCAATTCTTGAATTCTTTCTCTGAAACTTCCATTTACTTTGTTTATTGATTCAATGTATAGCAGAATAGCATTAGCCCTATTTTGACAAATTTGTATAATCTCATTTGATCTGGATGATTGAAGAAATAACTCAATAGATTGGCATCTTTCGATAACATGTTCAAATGGAATGCTTGAGTATGCCATTCCCAATGAACGAAGCTTTCCAATGATTTCCGGAGCTCTAAATTCTTTTCCTAGTGGAAATTTCCCGTCTTCTGGAAGATACATCAATGCTATTTTGTAACAGGTGTGGTCAATTAGATCAGAAGGTACTTTTCGAGCGCCATCAGGCGTAGAAGGAATACACGGGATCGATTTCAATTTTTCATTTATCCACTCAAAACTGTCATTATGTTGAAGTAAATACAAAACCACCACATTGACCACATCAACTGGTAACTCTTTTATATTTGGAAAAAACTGTTCTTCAAAAAACCTCCTATGCGTAAACGTCTTCATCCTGATCTCTTCAGAGCATTCAGAGTCTACAAAACTTTTTCTAATGTAGTCAGGTAGATCAACAATTACAAATCCTTGTTTTACCAATACATCTTTGATTTGTGGTAAGATAGGGCAACATTTTAGATCTGCATCCAAAAAATTAATCTCACTAAACGTATACCAGTGCTGTCCAACGTGGAATATTTGTGGAAGATCAGTCTCATTGTCTTGATTTATTCCATAAACAACAGCTTGGTAGAAACAATGCACAACATGATGAATATCTGTGTGTACATAATCAGTTCTAGGCCACAAAGAATATATGCCATCTTTCTTGTGAATAGTTGAGACATCAGTAAGTATCATTGTTCTTGTCGTAGGCTCAGACAGCAGCATGATATAACCTCTTGCAGTCACATCCTTCATTAGAGCATCGTTCCATTCCGAGTGTAGTGTTGTATCATCACCTGATCCTTTTTTTCGAAGACTTCTTCGATCTGGTGTTACAGAAAATTTTGCATTGATATGTATCGGGAGACCACTTGGTGGAATAGACAATGGCAAAAAACAAAACACTAAGCCAGAAACAGTATTTTTGCTGCAACATTTGTAAGCCAATCCACCACAAGGGTTTAGACCATGTTTTACACCATTGGGACTTCTTGCTATCTGTAAAGCCTCTCTATTTCCTTGAACAGTTTGAATAATCCAGTCTGCTTGCTCAGATTTTTTGTTCAGAAATTCTACATTTATTCTGATTTTGTAGATATTTTCAATACATCTTTCTATGATCGGTTCTCTCATAACACTGCAGATGAAAGTTGGTTCATCATCATAACCATTTCGACGATATATGCTCATTTTCTTTACATGCTTAGTGAAAATCAGTATCTCGCCTGCTTGATTTTGAAATTTTGTTATAAGGTTTGTGATTTTCTGTTCATCGAAAATATCTTTACTTATCTTTCCGCATTCCTGCACTTGATTGGCCGAGCGTAGAGGAAGGCGAAATAGTGTTCCGTTAAAGGACTTCCCACGTAGATCACATCCAAATACGTTTTTGTACGGGAGAAATTGATTGCTGAACCTGTCAAGGACTGACGGATTATCTCTAAAATTCATCTGAATCCCAGGTGCTCCGGATCTGATATGATTTTTAAGATGGAACCTGTGAGGATCAAATATTGTAAGACGACCATTACTGATAAAACTGGGAACATCTGTTATGTGATAAACAGAATTAAAACCCAAACCAAACTTTCCTATTTTTTCCTTTTCTTGGAGTTTAGTTTGTCCACCTAACTTTATGATGTTCTCAAAATCATTCTCTGTGAACATTGCATTATTAAAAACACAGAGCGCTGGGCCGTGACAGAGAGCCATTTCTTTATCTAATAGACCATGTGTGTTTGAAGAGCTGCTGAGATCTAGTAGGAACTTTACTTCCGTGGCTTTTGCATCATCTGCATTCTGAATCATTTCTTTTGGAATATCTATAGCTTGATAGTCTTCAAGAATGTTATGCAACCTCTGTGTTAAAGTTTCTTCCTGGCCAAATTGAGTTATTCCAATCTCATAGCTGTGCGACAATTTAATACTTAATGGTGTTACTCCAAAGAATTCCGCCACTGCATTTGTTACATCTTGGTGTACTATGTTTTCGTGGTGTTCAGAGGATAAACTGCATTTAAACCAATCATCACAAAAGCAACACTCCTCAGGCGTTACCAGACGGAGTGCTTCTCCACTTTCGATTGGAAGAAGAATGTTTTTACGATGTTCTACATCAAATTTTGTCTTATGACGTTTGATGACATTCAGAATTTCAATAACAAGATTGCGATCGTGTTCGACTTCAGCAGTAGGTGGCATATTTCTGTCATGCTTCTCTTTAATCTTATGGAGTATACTTATAAGATCACTTACTCGTTCACTTTGTTCCTGTGGTACGTTGCAATGCATGAATAATTGTTTGTAACAACGTAAACTTTGGTGAACTGAGTAAAAATACGGTTTGAGATTGACAGTTCCTTTATTGATACAAACAGAACCTGTGCAAGCGAATCCTTCACCGTGCCACACCCATGCCCAATCATCTGTCAGAAATTCGTCAATAAATTTTATGTTAAAATTAAGTTCTCGTTCAAGCACAGAGTAAATGTTCTTGCACATCTTTAAGACCATGGCTTCATTAGCTAATAGATGCTCGTTCGAAATGTTAGTAAGTCTTTTAAGTTGTTGTGTGACTTCAATACTTGATGGTGCACGCATTTGTATAGATAGATTAAAAACTCGACTGACATTCTCCGCATTTCTGCACCACCGAAACACTTGTTCATGAACGATGGGTTTCACAAAACCTACTAAATTAGAATATGTAAAAGGATAGAGATCTGTTGCGCATAAGAAATCATCACAATCATCTCCGTACCATGGGAATTTTGCAGGAAAGTCAATAGGCCTCTTTGAAACTGGTATCATTTTTATGCACCGAAGATCATCAATAAACTTTTGATCCAGTATTCCACATTTTGTTTCAAGAAATTCCATAAAGTGCTGCATCTTTTCTATCTTATGTTGCCTTTCACTATGACATCCTTCGAGAATTCTGGCTCTTTCTAAGAGTTCTGGCAAACTTAAATCATCTTTTTTCATTCCCAGCTCAACCATTACCTCCATCCTTGTCTCATCACGTTGGTAGTTTGTAAGTGGAAAGCGATATTCTTCGGGTTCAAATAAGGCTGATACTTTGCCATATGGGTGTACCAGATCAGAAATCTTCTTTAAAGATGTGGATGGACAGCCAGTTGGAATACACACTCTATTCTCTAGGAGCTTTCTGTATGATGGTTGTTTGTAATGATCAATAATGTGCATTGTCAGTTTATCACGCATTTCAATTTCCACGGCATTGATGTTGGGAAAGAAAATTTCTTTGAAAAACCGCTCTTCGTTATATATCCGTTTTTGTATCGCATCACTACAATCAGCTCTTTCGAATCCCTTTATAATGTTTTCCGGAATGTCTACAACATACATTCCAGTTGCAATGAATCTCTGCAACACTTTTTTCACATCATCAGCAACAGCTTGAGTGTGTGGTTTGTAGATGACAATTTCATCAATGTTTAGCCATTTATCATATTTTTGAAAAACACATGGTTTATCTCCTGAATTATCAATTCCATACACAATGGCTTTGTAGAATGCCTTTAATAAAGGTAGATATTCACTTTGCATTGAAATTTGCGATTCATTCGGCCAAAGGTCATACGTAGAGCAGGTTGTCAGGCATTGTTGAGCTTGTCTGTGTGTTAGGAGACTCACATAGCTTCTATTGATTATGTCCGCAAAAATAGCATCATTCCAATCTGCCTTTAAGTCTCTAACACCAAATAAAGTTCCCCTTCTCCAAAGATTCCTTCTGTCGCTAGAAACTTCAAAATTGCCATTAATATGAAGTGGTATACCAGAAGTTGGAATTGATAATGGCAAGAAACAGAAAACCTCTCCTTGTATTGGTTGTGATAACAGAGGCAATGCTACTCCACCACATGGAATTTTAAACCTTGATGTATCAGATTTGTATAATTCCAAGGAATTTGATTGGCCCATACAAGAACACACTAACCAATCTGTTGCAGAATTTCCAGCTGGATCAGTGGGATAACGAAAAGCTCCCTCATTTGTCAGGCAATGCTCAACACTTAATCTTGTTAATGATGATGGAAAATTGCTACTATTGTTTGAAAGAAACTGTGATGATTCAAACAAAATACTGTTCTGCATTTTGAACTTCTCCATGTTGGTTAGATTCTTCATTGAATTATTGATCTCTTTTATGTATTCCTTTGGAGTTTTCGTGGCGGAAAAAAGTTGTACAGCTTGCTGCGGTTCTTTGTTTGCCCCAAGGTAATAGACAGACACCTTTGTCACATGCTGCGTGAAAAGCAGAAGTTTTTCAGCATTTTTATTAACGTTTTCCATTAAAAGCAATACATCATTTTCTTCAAAATGTCTATCACTTATCTGGCTTTTTATCGCAATAGTTCGCAGTGGCAAACGAAATAACGCTCCTTCAAAGTTAACTTCATCAGTATTAAAAAGGTTACAGCCGAAAATATTATGAAATGGTTGGAACTGATTACGGAATCTTTTCAGAGTTGTTTTACTTCGATTCAAATCAATTCTGATACCAGGATTCCTTTTATCTCGTATTTGACTATCGAGAAAAATTGTGTGTGGGTCAAGAAATCCAACTAGCCCACGGGACAAGAAGCTAGGAACATCTGTTATGTGATAGACAGAATTAAACCCTAAACCAAATTTCCCTATCAGCTCTGGATTACTTTCTTTGGTTCTTCCGCCAATCTTAGTGATGTTCTCAAAGTCTGCATCGCTAAACGTTGAATCGTTATACACCCATAGCGCAGGACCCTGCCATGATTCCATTTCTTTATCCAGCAGTCTTGACTTTAACAAGCTATTTGTGCGCATGTCAATCATAAATCTGACCTCAGAGGCACCAGCATCATCAGCATTCTGAATCATTTCATTAGCAATGGAATTCTCAGTATAGCCACTATCAAGTATATTTCTGAGTTTTTGAGTAAGATCCTCTTTTTGGCCAGCTTGTTGAAATCCGAGTAATGACATCGCTCCGCTTATCTTTTGACCGAGAGGTATCACATCTAGGCAGTTGTAAATTTTACGAGAAACTTTCTCGTGCACTAGCTTAATGTCTTCAAATTCGTCAAACTCCAGCCATTCCTCATTGGGATAACAAACATCATTACATGAGGCAAACTGAAGGCAGTCGCTGTTTTGCATGGCTACAGGAAGAAAAATACGGTCTCTTATTTCATCAGTCACGTTTCCTTTGTTAAGGTCTATGATGCATTCAATGACTTGTATAGCAAGATCTCTATCATGTTCCATGCGTTCAGATGTGAGACCTAAATTACCTGGTGTTTCGTGGAAGCTCTTTATTTCTTCGAACAATTCCAGCATTGGCTCTGTCTTGTCATCAAATTTCTCTATCGCCCCAAAAGCTTTAAATAATCGTTTGTAATTACTGAAACCTGGATGAAGCACAAAAGCGTATGGTTCTAAGCTATATCTTGTCGCCTGAATAGAAATTCTAGATGGTGTCACAAAGCACGTTCCTGTCCATATCAACTTATCATCAAGGTTTTTGAATGGTGCAAAATACTCAAGGTTATTTTGCATATAAATGTATATACGATGGAGTATTTTCTCAACAGTGGATGTATCTAATCGATTACCGGTGTTTTTCTGACGAGATACAAAGTCTACTAGATTCTTTAAATGACTATACACCTTTTCTGAAAGAAGGTGAGACTCAAGCTCCCACTTGAATGCGTAAGTTAATCTCTGGTATTTATTCGAAACGAGAGGCATAGTTGAAGCTACTAAGGGTGCAAGTGCAACAGATATTACTTCGTTCGGCTTTAACAGATTATAACATTTGTTATACTGAGGATACTCTGATGGATATACATCACTTTCTATCAAATGCTCAACAGGAACCCAGCGTTGATTATTTAGGTAATTGCAAAGTGGGCCATTAAGGACAACTGGATTTTCATCTAAAAATTTCAGTAAAGCGTAACCTTTCCTTACATTAGACTTTAAGATGACATCACTTACACATTGTCTAATTTCGTCTTCTTTTACTTGAGAACGTGTTTTCAGTCCAAGTTCAAGAAGGATGCTTCGATAGTTACTTTCGAAAGGTGAAGCAGGAAAGATATCCATGCGTCCACTAAACAGCTCTATTAAAAGTTCATCTGACGGGTCAAAACATTCCGATGCTTGACTATGCCTTCCATTATGTAAAGGAATAAATGGTTTGTTTCGAATTTCATTAATGATCAGGTGCTTCTTTAACGGCTGAAATTCATCCCACCTATCCATTATCCAGATAATCAATGACGTCAATTCTCTGTTTACTCTAGATGTACAACGAACCATTTGGCAAAGTACCTCTTCTCTTGGGCATGATTGGAGAGACAATATAGAAGCTAAATTGTTGCAGTCTTCGTCTGATATGTCAATAAATATCTCTTCAGTTGGAAAATTTGGAAGGACATCTTTATTCACTGTCCTAAGCCTCTTGCTGTTGATGACAGCAGGCTGGAATAAGCAATTATTTGAAGAGCCAACTTCACATGTTGCTACTTCAAAGACAGCAATGCCTAGCAAAACCTGTGTTTGGGATGGTGTCATGCTTCGAAGACCACCCAGGAATTTTCTAAATACTTTTACTTGATTTGAAGCAAGGCGTCTTACATCACTTTGGAGAATTTGACCAGTTCCAGCATCAGCAAAAATACGTAAAATGTCATTAGGATCTGGTTTATGTAGGTACGTCTTCCATATGTCTGGCTGACGAAATGTCACAAAGTCTGCATTTTCAAGATAAACAGGTGTCATGTGTAAGAATGGAAGTATTGCCTCCACACGTGGATCTAAAGCAAAATCTTGATCACTGCTGAAAACCACAATGTTAGAATTTCGGATAAGTTTAACTAATTTTATCTCAGTAATATCTGGACCGAAACTGGTAGGAATCAATGTAATCCCTTCATATTTATAGATATCATATCTTGAGTGTTTACAAACTCTATGTAGGAAGTTCCAGAACTTCTCAAGCCAGCATCGTGGAGGATGACCATTGCGTCCAGGATACCACAATACATCGGGTGATGTTGACCAGTCACTAGGCAAAGCCGCCCTGATTAATGTAGCAACAAGATATGGTGTC